TCAGAGATCATGAATCTCCAACCCCCCTGCCACAAGCAGGGCCACCAACCTGCACGTTTAATGCTAAACCAGGCTGCCCAGGGCCCCATGAGGACGTTTGGTTTCCATGCAGTGGGACCAATTTGGGGTGCAGGGTGGGCAGAGCTGGTGCTGTGTGCAGCCCATGGGATGCTGCTGTTGGGCACAGCTTGGAAACCACATTGGATGGATGAGCTCTCCGTGGGTCCTATCCCTGCCCGTGGGGGAGCTGGGGCTGTTGGAAATGGGATTCCCAAGGAACAAAAGCAAGCAGGAATTGGTTCTGCTGGCACCCACGTGGTGTGATGTGTGCTGTCCCCATGGCCACCCCTGCCCAGCACTGTGCAGCTTGCCAGCCTGGCTGCTCACAGCCCTGGGCTGCCCCATCTCTCAGTCTGCAAATGATCAGCGCTGCGATATTGAACGTAATTAAGGAATCCTGGCCTGCAGGACGCGGAGGCACTGCTGCACCCGGCAGAGGACTTCCTTAAATCTAAAGGGCCCTCCCAGTTTGGAGAGCTGCGATGGTTCGATTGCCATCAGCACAGAGGGGAAGGAATGCATGAGCAGTTTGGTTATTTGCTTTGGTGTTACGCAGTAACCCAGGCTTTGGTCATTGCAGCCCTTTAGAACTTTCTCTTGCCTTTCGCAGCCCATCTTGCCCTGCTGCTTTGCAGCAGGTTCTGTGCAGAAGCCCTGAGCTTTGCAGGGCTGGATGGAAGCAACCTGCTTACCTTCCGTGGGCAGAAAGCAAACAGGGACCCCTGGGCTGCAGGGAAGGGCTGGGGGTGCAGGGACGGCAGTGAACCTCAGGGCTCTGCTGGTGCTGGGAAACTGATGGCAAAAGCAGTGGGGCTGCATTGGGATGGGGAGGGGGGTGGAAATTTGGGAGAGGGTGCTGCTGAAGAGGTGGGATGGCAGAGTTGGTTGGGAGCAGTGGCTGGGGGTGCTGGGGTGGCTTTGCTGCTGTTAAAGCTGGAGAACCTGAGTGCCACAAGCACTGAGGGGGCAGTGAGCTTTGCAGAGCTGTGCCAAGGAGAGGAGCCCAGCTGTGCACCCACTGGCATGGCATGGTGCTGCTGAGCCCCATCCTGGTCCCTAAGTGCCAGCAAGTGGGGTGCAGGGGGAGCTGTGCTGTCCCCTGTGCCTGCATTGGGCTCCCCACATCATCCTGGAGCACCTTGGGACCCCACAGCTGCTGTGCTGCTGTGCTGCTGTGCTGCTGTGCTGCTGTGCTGCTGTGCTGCTGTGCTGCTGTGCTGCTGTGCTGCTGTGCTGCTGTGCTGCTGTGCTGCTGTGCTGCTGTGCTGCTGTGCTGCTGTGCTGCTGTGCTGCTGTGCTGCTGTGCTGCTGTGCTGCTGTGCTGCTGTGCTGCTGTGCTGCTGTGCCACAGCACGGCTCTCTCCTGTTTCAGGTGCCCCTCCTTGCAGAGGCACCCAAGGGCGTAGCTGAGTGTATCAAAGATCAAATGGTCTAATCCTGCCTTTTGTTGGCACCTTACCTGGGCTGCTTTCTTCCTTTGTGCCTTGTGCAATCTGTTAAAGAGTAAATATTTGATTGCTTCAGGAGCTCCCTGGCAGAGGATTGGGGTGTCTGCACTGCTGTGTGTCTGAGCACAGAGCTCAGCTTTGCTGCTCCGCCACTGGGCTGTGCAGGCAGCGGTGCTGCTGAGGGGACGGTGATGCAAGGCAGCAGTGAGAAAGCATGAATATTTCAGTAGTGCTGAGCCAGATGTCCATCCAGCTCCAAGCCCTGCTGTGTGCAGGTCGCCAAGCAGCAGCCCAGGCTGCCCAGAGCCACATCCAGCCTGGCCTTGAATGCCTGCAGGGATGGGGCATCCACAGCCTCCTTGGGCAACCTGTGCCAGTGCCTCACCACCCTCTGCCTCCAAAACTTCCTCCTCACATCCAACCCAAAACTCCCCTGTCTCACTTTAAAGCCATTCCTCCCATCCCAGCTCGCTGCTTTGATGACATCTCAGAAGCTGAAGCCTCGTGGTGTGGGAAGCAGTGCAGGCAGGAAGGTCGTGTGGAGCCCTTGTTTGTATTAACAAAATATGTAAACAGTTCCTTTTTTTCCCCCAAATATCGTGCACTTTCTTTTTTGGCTGCCGTTTCGGTGTTGATGGAAGCAGGCTGTATAAATCACAGCTGTTCTAATTGAGCTCCATCAAACCCCATCCCCACAGCCGCCCTCATTGATGGCACCTCCTGCCCCCCGTGGGGTGTCCTAAGGGGGGGGTGTTGGTGGGACTGTTCTTCCTTGGGCCTGGAATGAGGCACATTGCTGCTTAAAGCACCTGTTGATGTGGGACATCCATCAGCATGGGGCTGAGTGCCTGCTGGGCTTCTGGAGGAGGGGGGAGCTGCATCCCAGGGGGGCGCAGGGCAGCACCAGTGATGGTGGGGCTGATAGCAGGGAGATAAGGAAGGATGAGGTGACAGGAGTCAGTGGGGCCGTGGCAGTTCTGGAGGGCATCTTTCCTGGCATGGATGCTGGGATGAGAATCTGTGTGTGGCTGCAGGAGCTGCAGGAACCATCGCAGCCCAAGTCACAGAGTTGTGGAGTTGCAGAGGTTGGAAGGGACCTCAGGTCACCGAGTTCAACCTCATTGCTAAAGCAGGTCCTGCGGTAGGTGGGGGCCCAAATGGCTCTGGAGTGTCTCCATAGAAGGGATGGCTGTGTGTCTGCAGTGCCTGGGGGCGGCCACCTGTAGGATCTGAGGGCTGTTCCCATCAGGCTGTGATACCACAGGCTGTTTGAAATGCAGCCTGTCTTAATCTCCCATTCAGCTTAGGCAGGGCTGCTCACCCAGCCTTTGTTCTTTGTTTGGGGGATGGCCCCCGGGGTCCCTTCCTTATCAGCTTGCCTTATCAGCACGAGCTTCATTGCTCCTTCTGGCCTTCCACTTGCACTGTTTCTTCATACCCAGGCTGCAATTCATTAGTCAGCAGCACCCAGTGTTGGGCAGCATCAGGGAAGGGCACACAGAGCATGAGGAGCGCAGGGATATGAAGTTATGGCAGGAGAACAGGCACAGCATCTCCTGGTGCCCCACATCCAGCTCTTGGTTGGCCCTCATGAATTCTTAGGAACATCTGGCAGTGGGCACTCATGGCTGAACCTGCGCTCATTTAGGAGCCCTGCTATGGGTGTAGGGTGACTGCAGGGTTTGGTTTGGTCCTGTGCTCCAGCGTGAGCATGTGAAGCTCTGGCAGTGGCAAAATGATGTCTTGGTTGCTGTGCTCCTGTTTGCTGCTTCACTGAGTGGCCAAGGCTCCCCTTCCCACAGCATCACAGAATGGTTTGGGTTGAAGGGAGCTCAAGGATCACGAAGCTCCAACCCCCCACCAATGCAGGGCCACCAACCTCCCCATCTCACAGCAGCCCAGGCTGCCCAGGGCCCCATCCAACCTGGCCTTGAACACCTCCAGGGATGGACGGGGCATCACAGCCTCTCTGGGCAGCTGTTCCAGCCCCTCACCACTCTCTCTCTAAACAACTTCCCCCTGACATCCAACCTCCAGCTGCCCTCCCTCAACTCCAAACCATTTCCCCTTGTCCTGCTGCCATCTCCCCTTGCACAGAGCTGACTCCCCTCCTGTCTGCAGACTCCCTTGAGGCACTGCAGGCTGCACTGAGATCAGCCTCACAGCTCCTGATGGAAGCAGGGCTGGTGGCTCTTAGGCTCATTTCCCATTGATCTCAAGCAATCTTTGCCTGGAAACTCTTACTGTGTGTGTGCTTACAGTGAGTCCAGCACAGCCTCTGTGGGGCTGGGGGCTCTCTGCTGAGCTTACAGGACCACTGTGTCCTGTGAATGGGGTGCCTGGGCTGGGGGCCTGGGGTGTGGGGTCTCACCATGGATAGGGTGGGATTGGGATGGGGATGGAGATGAGGATTGAGATGGGATGGAGATTGGGGTGGGTTGGGGTGTGGATGGAGGTGGGATGCGCTGGGATAGATGGTGCTGGTGGGGACTCAGGTGAGCAGCAGGATCTACAGTGTTATCCTTGCGGAGAAAGCTGTGCATCAGCAAGCCAGAAAAATGCATTTCCTGCTCAGGAAGAAGGGTGGCTTCTTTTAGTTGGTGTGCTGCAGGGACACCCTGCTCTTGGGCACTGTACTAGGGGGAAAGATTGGCTCCAGCAGCCAGACGTTTTGTGCATGACTGGGGGCTGTGCCATGGGTTGTGTTGGGGCTGTGTTGTAGGTTGTTTTGGGGCTGTACCATGGGCTGTGCCATGGGTCGTGTTGGGGTTGTGTTGGGGTTGTGCCATGGGTTGTGTTGGGGCTGTACCATGGGCTGTGCCACAGGTTGTGTTGGGGTTGTGCAATGGGTTTTGCATGGGCTGTGCCATGGATTATGTTGGGGTTGTGTTGGGGTTGTGTTGTGGGTTGTATTGGGGCTGTGCCATGGGTTGTGTTGGGATTGTGTTGTGGGTTGTATTGGGGCTGTACCATGGATTGTGCCATGGGTTGTGTTGGGGTCGTGTTGTGGGTTGTGTTGGGGCTGTGTTGTAGGTTATTTTGGGGCTGTACCATGGATTGTGCCATGGGTCATGTTGGGGTTGTGCCATGGGTTGTGTTGTGGCTGTGCCATGGGTTATGTTGGGATTGTGCCATGGGTTGCGTTGGGGTTGTGTTGTGGGTTGTATTGGGGCTGTGCCATGGGCTGTGCCATGGGTCATGTTGAGGCTGTGCCATGGGTTGTGTTGGGGTTGTGCCATGGGTTGTGTTGGGGTTGTGTTGTAGGTTGTATTGGGGCTGTGCCATGGGTCATGTTGAGGCTGTGCCATGGGTTGTGTTGGGGCTGTGTTGTAGGTTGTATTGGGGCTGTACCATGGGTTGTGTTGGGGCTGTACCATGGATTGTGCCATGGGTTGTGTTGGGGTCGTTTTGGGGTTGTGCCATGGGTCGTGTTGGGGCTGTACCCCATGGGCTGTGTCCTGGCCTGCCTCACCGTGGTGTTTCCTCCCCCAGCAGAGTTCTGCCGCATCGACAAGCCGCTGTGCCACGATGAGGATGAGCAGCTCAGCTTTGAGGCCGTCCGCAACATCCACAAGCAGATGGACGACGATGCCAACGGCAATGTGGACGTGGAGGAAAGTGATGAGGTTGGTGCTTCGTGTCTCCCTGCCCTTCTCTACAGCCCTGCAGGGCTGCCTGCATCCCAGCGTGCCGCTGTGGGGCTGTGGGCTGCACTTTGCTCACCTGGTGAGGAGATGCCGTCCTGTCAGTCTGAGCTCTGATCCCAGCTCTGCAATCCCTGCAGCGTGTGGCTTTTCTGCTGTTCTGGGGGCTCCTGTGCTTCATCTTTGGTTACACGCAGGCAGTTATCAGTGCATCCCAAGGCTGGGAGACAGGCGGATCTGCTCACATGCCCACGGTTTTGGTTCGTTGCTCCTTTTGTAACTTTGGAGCAGGGAAGGCCGTCGGCTCTGCTCAAACCTCCCTTTGCCATCTCACTGCTGTCCCTTCCACTGCGCTCATCCCCCAGCAGTTTTCACACCTTGGAGGAAAAGAAAACTCGTTTCTGTTGTCTTGGCCTTTGAAATGTGAGCTGATGGCTGTATGAAAGAGAGGAAATGATTGCTTTCCTGCATAAGCACCAAAAGAAGCAATGACTGCTGGAGCAGGGAAAGCTTTTTGTTGTTTATAACAGCTTCTCCATTGCAGCGGGTGCACAGGTGAGGGATGTTTTCCTCTAAGCCAACAGATAGAGGTAACACAGGTGAGGTGTTGGAAGAAGGCAGACCGAGGGGCTCTGCTATGGGCCGTGGGATCCCCATTCCTCACCCTGTAGAGGGCTGGGAGCACAGGATGGAGGGACGCAGGGCTGAGCAGAGACACTGCTGTGCTCTGAGGGCTCAGTGAGGCTGTGGCTGATAGGGGAACCCTACAGAACACACAACCTGTGTGTTGCTGTGGGCTCACTAAAGTGCAGCCTGCTGCTTCTGCACCCGCAGCTTTGGCCCTTTATTTTCTCTTTCCTATGTGCTTGGCAAAATAGAGGCTCTGAGAGCCCCTCAGTAGTGCTGTTCAGTGAGCAGCCCTGCAGAGCCCTGCTCTGGGATGCATCAGACAGAAATAGCCATCCAGAGGCTTGAACCCCACACCCAAAGGTTGTGCTATGGGGCAGTGCTGCTGCTCCTGCAGGTCCGTGTCCCCAGGTGGGCACAGCAGCCTGGAGCAGTGCTTATGGGACACATTCAGCCCGGTGCTCCCATCCAGCAGCGCCATTCCCTCAGCCTAAATTCCACTGGGTGGAGTAATTAAAGCAAATGAAAAGCTTTTTTTTTTCCCAGTCAAAGAAATGAAAAGCTTTCGGCTGCGTTCCCTGCAGCGTTCCCCTGCGGCGGCTGCAGCTCTGCCTCCATTCCTGGAGCTGTGCTCGGTTTTGTTGGGGCTGAGAAGCAGCAGCATTGCCAGCAAGTCCTGCCCTGCCTTGGGATTCCTGCTGGGTCCGTCCTGCCTGCTCACTCTGCAGTGTAGCAATGCCATATGAGCAACAGCATTCATGTTTCTGAAGGGCTGCAGGACCTGTGGCTCAGCCTGGGTCGCTGCTGCCCCGTGAGCACAGCCTGCCTGGCCCCTCATCTTCTGCCCCTTCTTTGTGCCTAACTTTGAGATTTCATCTCTCCTGTATTTAAAACACTGATTTTCTCGTGCGGAGTCACCGTGGATGGGCACCTGGGTGCAGTGCTGGGCAGCACTCATGGGCCACCACCCTCCATCCTCTCACTGCCGCCAGGTTTTGCTTTGCTTTCCCTTTGGGTGGTGAGCACACAAGGCTCCTGCTGGCCATATAGCAAAGCCACGTGGGTTGCACACTGCTGCATCACTCTGGGAAGCACTGTGCCTTGGGACAGCCACACTCAGGTGTGCTTCACACTGGGAAGTGCACGGATCCTGCCCTGCTCTGTGCTGCCCTTCAATCCTCACTGCTTTATTCCTTCCTTCCTGGAGCCAGTTTTCAGCTAAGCAAGAGATGACATCCCTGACCTCAATTAAAGCCAGAGAGCCGTCCCTCGTGGGAGAGCTTCTAATTAGCAATCTATTTCTGCTGCCTTTGCTCACCCAGAAGGCAGCTGTGGTGGTGCAGTGCTGGGATGGGGCTGCTGGGCACACCAGGTGCTGTCAGCCCTTCTTCCCAAGGAAACGAGGGGTGTCCCACCACCCTGCCCATCCTTCCTCATTCTGATCCTGTGGCCCTCAGCCACCTCCAGGCATGGGCACATGGCTCAGGCAGTGCTGGGGAAGGATTCCCCCCACATTGGACCTGGTGCAGTGAGCTGAGCTGCAGCCTGACTGTCCCGCAGCCAGCAGTGCTGTGGGATGCTGTGCTCAAGGCAGAGCTGCTGGGAGCGATGCACAACGTGGGGCACCGCAGCTCTGGTGGGCAGCGTGGGGCTGTGCTGTGTGTTGATGTGCACCTCATTGGGTCCCTAAGGCTGGAGAAGCCCTCCAAGATCCCCCAGCTCACCCTGCTCACGCTGCCGCTCACGCAGCCGGGATGCTGTTGGCCTTTTGCTCACACTGCTGGCTCGTGCTCAGCCCCAGACCCTTTCCAGTCACTCTGCCCCAAGCCTTGAACGCTGCATGGTGTTGCTGTGGTCGAAGTGCAGGACCCAGCACTGCTCTCGTTGGCCCCCACCCGCTGCCCCCAGCCCAGCACTGTGGCCATGATCCCAGTCCCTGCTTCCCCCCCAGCCCTCCCCCGTGGCTGTGCTGCAGGCAGCTCTGAGCGATCGCTTTCCCTCTGTGCTCCCTGAGCTAAATATACCGGGCAGCAGCTGGCCCTGCTGTGACATTGCCACGTCCCATAGGTCAGGGCTGTGGGACACGGAGCTGCTGCAGGACCTGGTGCTCAGCTGTGTGCTGGGAGCAACCCGGGCTGCTGCTGAATGCACCCTGAGAGCTCCGAGAGGGAATGCTGCACAGTTTTAGTGCTCTGTCTTCCATTAAAGCATCATCTCCTTCTCTATGGGCAGCTTTAAAGAACTGTTACGTTCTTCTTGCTCTTGGAAGGAGTCCAGAGGAGGGCAGAGATGGTGAGAGTGCTGGAGCAGCTCTCCCATGAGGAAAGGCTGAGGGAACTGGGCTTGTTTGGCTTGGAGAAGAGAAGGCTGCAGGGAGACCTGATGGTGGCCTTCAGTGCTTGAAGGGAGCGGATGAACAGGAGGGGGAACGGCTGTGTGTGAGGGTGGGTGGTGACAGGACAAGGGGAATGGCTTGAAAGTGAGACAGGGGAGGTTTGGGTTGGATGTGAGGAGGAAGTTTTGGAGGCAGAGGGTGGTGAGGCACTGGCACAGGTTGCCCAAGGAGGCTGTGGATGCCCCATCCCTGCAGGCATTGGAGGCCAGGCTGGATGTGGCTCTGGGCAGCCTGGGCTGCTGCTTGGCGACCTGCACACAGCAGCAGTTGATACTAAATGATCACTGTGCTCCTTTGCAGCCCAGGCTGTTCTATCTTTCTATGATTTTTCACCTTAAAAGCCCTTTAGCAAAGAAGATTGCTTGCAAATCATAGACTCAGCAAGGTTGGTGAAGAGCTCTGAGGTCAAATCGAACCCAGCGTGCTCACTGGTGGCACCAAGAAGGCTGGAAGAGCCCTCCAAGACCCCCAGCCCCCCCCACTGTACCACATCCCCCAGTGTCACATCCCCATGGCTCTGGGACACCCCAGGGATGGTGACCCCCCCAGGCAGCCTGTGCTGGTGCTGCTCTTTGGAGGAGGAATTCCCCTGGTAGCCAACCTGGCCGTCCCCCAGCATGGCTTGACTCTCACACCCCATTGTGCTGGTGGGGATTTCAGCCAGGAATTATCTTTGAATGATGCTGGATGTCCCAGGAATGAGAATCTGAGCTGCAGTGCTCCCTGTGACATCCGTTGGCTGTGGGGGGACTGCAGGGAGGGCAGTGGATGGGATGCTGGAAGGGTTAATGGAGTGCTGCTGCTGTTTCTTCTCCTAGTTCTTGAGAGAAGACCTGAACTACCACGACCCCACCGTCAAGCACAGCACCTTCCATGGTGAAGACAAACTCATCAGCGTGGAGGATCTTTGGAAGGCCTGGAAGACCTCTGAAGGTAAAAAACCCACAAAACCAACCAAGCAACCCAACCCAAACCCAGACAACCCAAGCAGCCATGCAGAATGGTGCCAGCACTCTGGGCTTGCAATGGCAGCACCTCTGTGCGTCCCAGAAGGGCACTGAATTCTCCTTTGCTGCCCTTTGTCGCTTTTCCAGCTTCCTTCTTTGGGCACTTCTGGATTCTGTGGCTCTCAGTGCATTTTTCAGCTCTCAGTGCAGCCACCTGAGTACAGCAGGGGAAGTACCAGCAGCAGAGGGGTGGCCAGCAGGGACAGGGAGGTGATCGTCCCCCTCTGCTCTGCCCTCATGAGGCCCCATCTGCAGCACTGCGTCCAGGGCCGGAGCCTCCAGGACAAGAAAGACAGGGAGCTGTTGGAGAGGGTCCAGAGGAGCCACAAAGATGAGCAGAGGGCTGCAGCACCTCCCTACAAAGACAGGCTGAGGGAGCTGGGCTCGTTCAGCATGGAGAAGAGAAGCTGCGGGGTGACCTCAGTGCAGCCTGCAGTGCCTGAAGGGAGCCTGCAGACAGGAGGGGAGTCAGCTCTGTGCAAGGGGAGATGGCAGCAGGACAAGGGGAAATGGTTTGGAGTTGAGGGAGGGCAGCTGGAGGTTGGATGTCAGGGGGAAGTTGTTTAGAGAGAGAGTGGTGAGGGGCTGGAACAGCTGCCCAGAGAGGCTGTGATGCCCCGTCCATCCCTGGAGGTGTTCAAGGCCAGGTTGGATGGGGCCCTGGGCAGCCTGGGCTGCTGTGAGATGGGGAGGTTGGTGGCCCTGCATTGGTGGGGGGTTGGAGCTCTGTGATCCTTGAGGTCCCTTCCAACCCAACCATTCTGTTGTGCGATTGGTTTCATTTCTCTGTTCCTATAAACGTATGTTAGAATGGGGCCACGTGCTGCCCTGTGCCAACTCCTCCTCGAGGTTCAGGTCATGTTCTATGGGACAGCAGCATCCTCTGTATGGAGCAGAGCTGTGTGGCACTTTGTCTACTGATGAAATTAACCGCAGAAGTTTGCTGAACCCCAGAGGCACCCTCAAATGGAAGTAAAGTCCTAAACCCAGAGCTGTCCCGGGTGCATTGGGCACCGCAGCTTACCCAGGGCTGGGGAAGTTCAGCCCTGGGTGGGAAACCCCCAGCACTGCTGACCCGGTGAGGAAACTGTTGGGTTCCCTGCCACTTTATAGCACAGTTTCACTTTCTCCCCAATCAGGATGTTAGAATTTCTATGCAGAGAAGCATTAAAACTCCCCCTGCTGCCCTGCTCTGTGTTTCCTCTTTAGAAACTTCTCTCCTTTTGCTTTTGCTCTCTTCCTGTTAGTTACACGTTCAGGAAGTGATGCATCTCTGTGCAGCATCACTTCTGGTGGCAGTGAGTTTGTTCAGCACTCAGCGTTTGCTTTCCCATTTCTCTGTGTCTCTGTCTGATAACAGAAAGGGCTCTTGCAGCATTGCTGGCCTCATCCAGAGCCCCATTTGGGCAGCTGAAGCTGAGCTGTAAAACCACAGATCCTGGTGGAACTGTGCCAGCACTGGAGGTGCACCCAGGGCACACGTGTGTGTGTTTGCTCCGTCCTGCTGCTCCTCCTGCCTGCCCTGCTGTCCACGAGTACTTTTACAACACAGAACCACAGCATGGTTTGGGTGGAAGGGAGCTCAAGGATCACGAAGCTCCAACCCCCCACCAATGCAGGGCCACCAACCTCCCCATCTCACAGCAGCCCAGGCTGCCCAGGGCCCCATCCAAGCTGGCCTTGAACACCTCCAGGGATGGACGGGGCATCACAGCCTCTCTGGGCAGCTGTTCCAGCCCCTCACCACTCTCTCTCTAAACAACTTCCCCCTGACATCCAACCTCCAGCTGCCCTCCCTCAACTCCAATCCATTTCCCCTTGTCCTGCTGCCATCTCCCCTTGCACAGAGCTGACTCCCCTCCTGTCTGCAGGCTCCCTTCAGGCACTGCAGGCTGCACTGAGGTCACCCCGCAGCTTCTCTTCTCCATGCTCAACAAGCCCAGCTCCCTCAGCCTGTCTTTGTAGGGAGGTGCTGCAGCCCTCTGCTCATCTTTGTGGCTCCTCTGCACCCTCTCCAACAGCTCCCTGTCTTTCTTGTGCTGGGGGCTCCAGCCCTGGATGCAGTGCTGCAGATGGGGCCTCACGAGAGCAGAGCAGAGGGGGACGATCACCTCCCTGTCCCCTCCCTGTCCCTGCTGGCCGCCCCTCTGCCCAGGATCTCATTTGCTTTCCGAGCTACAAGAGCACACTGCTGCCTCATAGATCCACTGGGGGCCATGGATAAATCTCTCAATGCTTATTGCTCTCAGGAGCAAATTGAATGTGGTTGGGATGCTGGGCATCCGTCGCTTCCCATAGAAGAGCAATGCAGAAGGGCTGGGCAGGTTGGGGTGTGGGGTGCCTGGGGTCTGAGCAGCGTCATCAACAGCAATTCTCACAACTTGAGACTGTCAGAAGACACTTCTGGAATCTGTGCTAACTCATCCCAGGCCTCGTGTGGCTCCCAGCAGGGAGCAGAGGCTCTGTCTGGCATTCTGCCTTGGGTCAATCAGAGCTCCTGCAGGCCATGTCTGCCCAGCAGTGCCTCGGGCCCTGGGGCATGGCTCCTGCTGGGTGCTGGCTTCCATCCCAGCCCTTCCCATGGCACAGAAATGAGTTTCCTGCAGTTTGTGGGCTTGGAATGATAACTACAGGGAGTTTCCTTAAGCTCGGGCAGTTTGCTAACATGCATCTGAATCAGTTCCCAAGTTTGCTGGAGATGACACTTTCCTTTGAAGCCTTCTGCCAAGCTGCTGGCCCTGCTCCTGTCCGTTCTGCCGTGGTTCTGCTGCAGGCTCTGAGCTCTGCAGTGAGCTGGGAGATGTTTCTCATGTCCAAGGATTCACTGCCTTCCCCAGGAATCACAGCAGCGCAGAATTGTAGGGACTGAAAGAGACTCCCAAGATCATTGAGTTGCAGAGCTTGCTCCATACAGCAGGCAGTGCTGGGATGCTGCTGTTCCAACCCCACGGCTGTTCCCCCTTTGCTGAAGGCAGATGGTGGAGGTGCACGTGGTCTGATTACTGCACACACTGATGCTGCCTGGATGGTTTCAGCAGTAATAATGCTAAGCTGCTCGTGTGTTTCTTGCCCACAGTGTACAACTGGACAGTCGACGAGGTGGTGCAGTGGCTCATTACCTACGTGGAGCTGCCACAGTACGAGGAGACCTTCAGAAAGCTGCAGCTGAGTGGACATGCCATGCCCAGGTCAGTGCTGAGCCCCTGGGATGTGTGCCAGGGATGGAGCAGAGCCGAGGCAGCAGCGATCCATCCCTGTGCACAGAGCTGTGGGTGACTCCTGGGCCAGCCCAGCTTGGCTCCGGGTGCTTGGCTGTGCTGCAGGCTTCACTGCAGGGATGTGCATGCAGAGAGGTAGGCCAGGTGCTGGGGCTGTCAGTGCTGCTGTGCTGGCTTGCACAACAGCCATCGTCAGCCTGAAGCTGTGCGCTCAGAGCTGCAGCCCTAAGCTGGAGCAGAGCAAGTCCAGGCAGTGCCCCGCTCTGCCCACGCTTCCTTTGTAACTCATCATCCTCAGCACAGGGATGGTCTCCGCTGGCTGCATCCCACCTGAGAAATGTGCTCTGCAATCCATACAGTCAGCTGGCAGCAGCTGGCAGTGTAGATTTGCTTGATAGATGCATCCACTGCATCTATCCTGCACGGTTAGCAGGGCATTGACAAGCTCGGTTTGCCTACGAAGCAGTGTGAGCAGTCAGGAGGAATGGAAAGCCTTCACTTTTCTCTGGTGCTGAAGGCAGGGATGCTGCTTTTGATACAGATCTGGCACAGGTTGCCCAAGGAGGCTGTGGATGCCCCATCCCTGCAGGCATTCAAGGCCAGGCTGGATGTGGCTCTGGGCAGCCTGGGCTGCTGCTTGGCGACCTGCACACAGCAGGGCTTGGAGCTGGATGAGCGCTGTGCTCCTTTGCAACTCAGGTCATTCTATGAAATCTGCACCAGAAACAGCACGGTTTGAGGGCTTCCTTTAGCCCTGGCAGCTCTCTGCTCCTGCTCACCCCATTTCTCTGTCCGTAGCTCCCATATTATTCCCTTCTGTTCCCTTATGAATTGGGATGGATGTGACTGCGCCTCCTCCTTGCGTTTCACAGATTAGCAGTGAACAATGCCACCATGATGGGGACTGTCCTGAAGATGACAGACCGCAGCCATAGGCAGAAGCTGCAGCTGAAGGCTTTGGACACTGTGCTCTTTGGTCCTCCCCTCTGTAAGTAACACTGCACAGCTCCTTAAGTGCAAGGAGCTGCATCTGCTCAGCAGCAGACAGCAAAGATCCAGCTACGTGGCCCAGGCTTTATGCTGAATGAAGTCTGCTGGGTAATTGCAGTCAGGCAGAACCTGCAGCAGGTCGGCTGAGGGCTCCAGCCCTGTCCTGGAGGAGTGGGTTTGCACTGAGCTGTGAGCACAGCTGGAGGGAGAGGAGTGCTGGGATGGCACCGAGCTGAAGGAGGGCCGGTTCTGGAGCTGCCTGTGAGCATCTCCTGATGATCTGGAGGCCCTCTGATTATCTCTGCAGCTCGGGGCGCTCCTTTGCATGCACTGCACCTGGCTCACAGCTTCAGTCTTGTTATTATGAGTCCTTCCTGCTTATGCACGTTGTTCTCATTAAGGCTGATGCTTTGGGGAGGTATCTGAGGCCTGGCTCCATCAGGACCCTGTGGTTAAAGCTGCCCCAGTTCCTGCTGGCATGCCCAGCACCAAGGAGGAATTTGGTTGGCAGCCACACAGGCGCTGTAATGGCAAAGTAAATTGCTTTTAATGGCTTTGGATTAATGCTTACTCTCTGTGTTTGAGGAGCTGCTGGGCAGCCGTCCTGGCACGCACCGTGAGCTGCAATTGTGCACACAGCAGCACAGAGCAGTGCAGAACTGAGCAGTGCATGGCTGCACCCCCGCATCAGTCCTTCATGGCTTTCTCCAAGGTTCCTAGAAGACAATTTTGGGGATGTGGGACCAAACTGAATGATTTACCTGTGCCCATCCCACAGCTGTGCCATCCCAGAACTGTGCCCATCCCATAGCTGTACCCATCCCACAGCTGTGCCATCCCAGAGCTGTGCCAACCCAGAGCTGTGCCCATACCAGAGCTGTGCCAACCCATAGCTGTGCCCATCCCACAGCTGTGCCATCCCACAGCTGTACCCATCCCACAGCTGTGCCAACCCATAGCTGTACCCATCCCACAGCTGTGCCATCCCATAGCTGTACCCAACCCATAGCTGTGCCATCCCACAGCTGTGTCCATCCCAGAGCTGTGCCATCCCACAGCTATGCCATCCCATAGCTGTGCCAACCCATAGCTGTGCCCATCCCACAGCTGTGCCCATCCCACAGCTGTGCCATCCCATAGCTGTACCCATCCCACAGCTGTACCCATCCCACAGTTGTGCTCATCCCATAGCTGTACCCAACCCATAGCTGTGCCATCCCATAGCTGTGCCATCCCACAGCTGTACCCATCCCACAGCTGTGCCCATCCCACAGCTGTGCCAACCCATAGCTGTGCCATTCTACAGCTGTGCCATCCCACAGCTGTGCCAACCCATAGCTGTACCCATCCCACAGCTGTGCCCATCCCATAGCTGTGCCATCCCACAGCTGTGCCAACCCATAGCTGTACCCAACCCATAGCTGTGCCCATCCCACAACTTTACCCATCCCAGAGCTGTGCCCATACCACAGCTGTGCCCTGAGCTTCTCTTCCCATGTCTGAAACCTTGTTCATGCAGCTGTGCCACAGGGCTGTGCTGCAGGGCTGTGCTGCAGCTGCTGTAGGGAGCTGCTCCTTGGTTTGTGCTGCAGGGCTCTGGAGGTCCTTTCCCAGCACTTCACATGTTGTTCTCGGACCCCCCACAGCCCCTGCTGGTTTGCACTGAAATGCAGCTGAAGTCTTTTTGACGCCACGCTCATTTTTCCACAGTTCTGTTGGCAATCTGGGAGCGTGGGGGGGCTGCTTGCTTTGGGCTGGATGGCAGCAGGGGGTGACGCTCCGCACCGCGCAGTGGCTGCTGCAGGGGGAAGGACGAAATCCATTCTCTCCAACAATGGCAAATTAACTGCACTGTTCGTTTAATGGCACAGAGAGCTCCTTTTGTGGGAAAGGCATTGCAGTTGGTGACAGTGGCTGCAGTTTAGTGTGAGATGGAACATCTGCAGCGCTGCCTGGGCTCGGTGTGGCACTGCACAGCACCCACTGCTGCGTGTTGCTCAGCTCCGACCCGTGGAGCAGCTGTGATCCTCTGTTCTTCCCAGCAGGGAAGGTTTGATCCTTAAGGAAGCAACGAGGCTGTGCTTGCACCTCTACCTGTCTGCCCATCCCTCTTGCTGGCAGTGCAGGACCTGTTTGCAGGGCGCTGCTGGTGCTGGACACCGACCTGCAAACACGGATCAGAGGGACTGGAAATGATGGATGTGCAGCAGAGTGCCAAGGAGCTGCTCCTTGGGAAGAGGATGTTGTGATAATCCATCCGGAACGGGAAGTGGGGCCAAGGCCAAGATCTTGGTTCTTTTGTTAGTGTTGAATTTGTAAAGGGAGTGTTTTCAGAGGGAGGTGGAGCTGCTCCGTGGTGCTGCGCCGGGTGCTGGGCAGGGGATGCTTTGGGCCACGGCCTCGTGCTGCTGCTGCAGGGCAGGGGGAGGTGTGGGATGCACTGCTGTCCCCCCAGCTGGGGTAGAGTAGAACAGCAGGGCTGTGATTTCCCTCCTCCCGTGCGCCCATGGGGATGGATGCACCATGTGTGTGCTGGCAGCGTGCAGCCCATTGCTGGCAGGGCAGAGTGCTGACAGTGACAGCTGGCACTGGTTGTTTCTCAGCCATATATTAACAATCCAATCCCGGAGGTAAAGGTCACTCTTATTGAAAACAAACAAAACAGCATCGTTCCCCTGAAGGAGATGATGCACATCTTTGTAAGCCGTGTCAACGTTGCTAAGCGGTGCTTTTTATTGAGCCAGTTTCTGCTGAGCCTCTGTTAATGTGCTTCTGATGGATGAAAGGCGATGGTTCCTTATCTTCTAGTGGGGCAAGCGGAGTTGGGAGTGCTGTGTATCACAGGCAAAGGTGCCTGGAGGTGCTGGAACAGCTGCCCAGAGAGGCTGTGATGCCCCTGTGATCCCTGGAGGTGTTCAAGGCCAGGTTGGATGGGGCCCTGGGCAGCCTGGGCTGCTGTGAGATGGGGAGGTTGGTGGCCCTGCATTGGTGGGGGGTTGGAGCTTCGTGATCCTTGAGCTCCCTTCCAACCCAAACCATTCTGGGATTCTATGACTCAGGTTGGGAACGTGGCTGCTTGCTTTCTGGTGGTAACGCAGCCCAGCAAGAAGGACACAGCTCACACAGGGGAGCCCATTGGGGTACCCACACGTCCCAGGAGCTGCAGCGCCTGGCAGATGGGATGCCATGTGTCTGCCTGCAGCACTGTGGAATCCTGCTGCTTTGCTGTGTTTTTCCATTGTTGTCATAGCTGCAGTGTGCACCAAATGCACGGGAGGGATGGCTGCAGGGAGCAGGGCTGGGAGCAGGCAGGGATGGGAGCAGGACCAGAAGCAGGCAGGGATGGAAGCAGGAGCAGGCAGGGCCGTGGGAGAAGCAATGACAGCACGCAGGGTCAGGCTGCAGCACTTGGACACAGTGCAGCGAGGGCAGAGGATGTCAGTGGTAATGAAGTCCCTGTAATTGGGATGCAGGGATGGGATGGGAGCAGGGCTGTGTGTGTCATGTGCTGCTGGGGTGACGCCAGCCTTTAACAGCCTCATCTTTTCCCACTTACAGCACATGGCAGTTGTTGGCTTAGAAGAGAAATGCATCGGAGAGCCAAGGTCAAACACAAGGCTTGCTGTCCTAACAGCAGATTTACTGTGCTTGTTGCTATTACACATCTGCTTTTCCATCTGCGTTTTGGAGCTACCTTCATGGCCTCATTTCAAGCAGCACGGACCAGGAATTAGGCTGGATTCTCATCTTAGGGCTTTTCTGCTTCAGCTCTGTAGAGATGGCAGGGATTTATCAGAGCGCAGAGCTGTGTGTGGTGACAGACCTGGAGCTTCACTGCTGCAGGGGCTGCACGTAGCTGTGCTGCTGAGCCTCGAGCTGAAGGGGGGCTTCCTGGCAGTGATGTTGGTGTCAGTGGGTGCCATGTGTGCTGGTGCTGCCCCTCACGGGGGGCATACAGGGATTTCATACGAGCATGGAAGCACAGAACCTCAAAAGCTGGAGAAGCCCTCCAGGGTCCCCAAGCCACCCCACATCCCCACAGCTCTGGTTGGTGACCCCCCCCGGTCCCCGTGCAGCTGTGCTGCTCTTCGGAGGAGGGATTGTTCTTCCTTCCCCTGGGATTTCGGGGGGCTATAAATGCTGTTGGTGCTTCCCAGCTCCAAATGACGAGGCATTTCTTTAGGACTGAAGGTGCTGCTGCTGACTGCTCAGCAGCTGCTCTTAGGAGGGGAGAGGATGAACTCTCGTGTCCTTTACACCCGTGGGTTCCTGCCAGCACCGCAGAGAGCAGCAGGGCGTGCGCTGGAGATGGAGGAACAGATCCATTCCATGCTGGGAGCAGGCTGCTGTGGCAGCCATCCTCCCACTGAAGGCACAGCTCTGCCTTCGTGTGCCCTTCTGTCCCAAGACAGGGATGCACACCAGCACTCCCTCGTGCTGTGCCAAGCTGATGCTGTGTGCTCTGAAAGCCTTAAGCGCTCACAAATGGAAGGGAGGGGAAGTGAAAGCCCTATGCTTGCTCAGTCATTATGAGGGAGGATGTTTTATGGCTTGTTTGTTTTTGGTGTTTTTTTTCCCCTCCCAAAAAAGCTTGTGTTTTAAGGAAGCAGAGATGAACTCGAGGCCCTGAAGGGCTCTTTGGTCCGCATTAAAATAAGCACACATGGAGCAGACACAGAAATAAACGGAGATCTGACTCAGAGCTGGGCCAGTTCTGCACTGCTCTGCGCTGTGCTGTCCCAATGCAAATGTGTGCACAGGAGCAGAGGGGTGCAGGGAAAATCGATGAGCAGAGGGCTGGAGCAGCTCTGTGTGAGGAAAGGCTGAGGGAACTGGGCTTGTTCAGCTTGGAGAAGAGAAGGCTGCAGGGAGACCTGATGGTGGCCTTCAGTGCTTGAAGGGAGCGGATGAACAGGAGGGGGAACGGCTGTGTGTGAGGGTGGGTGGTGACAGGACAAGGGGAATGGCTTGAAAGTGAGACAGGGGAGGTTTGGGTTGGATGTGAGGAGGAAGTTTTGGAGGCAGAGGGTGGTGAGGCACTGGCACAGGTTGCCCAAGGAGGCTGTGGATGCCCCATCCCTGCAGGCATTCAAGGCCAGGCTGGATGTGGCTCTGGGCAGCCTGGGCTGCTGGTTGGCGACCTGCACACAGCAGGGCTTGGAGCTGGATGAGCGCTGTGCTCCTTTGCAGCCCAGGCCATGCTGTCATCCTATGAAATCTGGGAGCAGATGATGGCTGTGCTGCTGCCCCTCTGCAGTGCTGACCGAGGGAGGAGAGCTGCTCTCCCTGCACAGCACCGCTCCTGAGCTCCAGCTCCAAAGCCCACCTTCTATAGTGGGGGTGGTGGCATTATATTAAATATCCCAGCTCAAAGCACCCCCCAAGGCAAACAAACCACCTCCCCACTCCGTGCCCTCAGCAGCCTTTCCTCCTCTGGCAGTGACACGCCACAACCACCTGAAGGACTTCATGCTGGTGGTGTCCATCGTCATCGGGGTGGGCGGCTGCTGGTTTGCCTACATCCAGAACCGTTACTCCAAGGAGCACATGAAGAAGATGATGAAGGACCTGGAGGGCCTCCACAGGGCTGAGCAGTCCCTCCACGACCTGCAGGAGAGGTAAGAGCTGCGTGGCCCCCATCAGCTGTTGGCTTTGCTGCTGGTTGTTCCTCATTGGGGTCTCCCACCTCATTCTCTTTGCAGCTCTCCCCCTCAGTGCAGTGTGGGTACCCTGAGCTGCCTGGTCTGTGCCACCCTGCATATAGCAGGGGGTTGAAACTTGATGATCATTGTGGTCCTTTTCAACCCAGGCCATTCTATTATTCTATGACTTCTCCCAAACACACAGAACTGTAAAGCAGATCTGTACCTCTCTGGATAAAAGAGCCTCTTAAAGGATGGGAAGTAACCCAGTTTGCTTGTTGTCATCTGGGAAGGCTGCTGCCCTGCCTGGCAGCCCCTTGGGAGCCATCCATGCATGGGAGGTGTTGAAAAGCTTTTCTGTGATCACATCAGTTGGTATCTGCATGGTGAGAGGGCACTTAGAAGTGCACCAGGCTGGCGGTGCCCAGCGCAGCACATCCACGTCAGCACTGCAGATGTGTGACCTGCTTTCTTTTGGACTTGAAGGGTTTTCCTCTCTGCCTGCCAAGGGAGCAGGCTGTAATCCACAGCTCATTTCACACGGCTTTGTGGAGTTCTCCATCACAGCCAGGACATAACCTGGAGAACCAGGGAACCTCTGGGTGTGCAGCTCCTGCAGGTGCATGGTGTTCATCCATGGCACCGTGCAGGACAGGGGATGGGCAGGGCTGTGCTGGGGGGGCACCTGGGAAGGAGCAGCTGGGCCTGGGGAGCTGAACCTGAGCTCAGAACCAGGTGAGGAGGCCCCAACCTAAGCACAGAATCGCAGAGGTGCAGGGGTTGGAGGGGTTGGAAGAACCTCCCTCGCCCTGCTGGCCGCACTCTGTGCAATGCACCCCAGGTCCCATCGGCCTTTTTGGGCACACTGCTGGCTCACGGCCACCTTCTGGCCACCAGGACTCCCAGGTCCTTCTCTGCAGAGCCCCTGTGCAGCAGCTCAGCCCCGACTATACTGCTGCTGTGGCTGTTCCTCCCCAGCTGTAGGATCCTACACTTGGCCACGTTGGATGCTCTCAGGTTCCTCCCATCCCAGCTCTCAGGTTGGGTCCCCATGGGCCTGGGCACCAGTGAGGCAGTTCTGCTCAGCAGTTTGCTTGCTAGAAACTCCTTTTTGGACCTCAAACCAGGCTGTTCCCACTGATGGAAGTTCAGTGCTGAGCACATCTGCAGGATGGCCCCATCTGCTGCTGCTGCTGCTATTCCTGTCTCTGCTGTGTTCCTGGAGACTGGGGAGGGGAACGCAGACACTGAGAGCCATTTGTGGCTCATCTTTTGGGAACACCCATTAGCACTGATGCTTCCCAGTCCCATGTGCCCATCGTGCAGATAAGTTCACATCAGAGCACATCCCTCTGCTGATGTGCTGCTGAGCTCTAGGTCCATCTGTGCCCATGGCACAACGCAGTGCTGCCCTCCATCCTGGAGCTCACTGCATGCAAAGGGCTCAGAGGGTGGCTTTGTCCACTGCCAGCATCAGAAAGCACAGCTCTGCTGTGAGCAAAAGCCAGTGGGAAGGGAAAATGCAATGGTTGTGCACGCTTGGAAATTGCCTTGAGGATAAATCTCCTATGAAAGGAATTCTGCATCATAGCATGGGGAAAATTCTCCTTTAAATAGAGATATTTGGGTGGTTTGGAATTCTTACGGCCCTACTGTGGGAGAGCTTCAGCAATGAGCTCAGGGCAGAGAGCGTGGGTTTATCTGAAGGCTTGGAACGCCTTGGCAGAAACCTCTGTTAATTGGGAAGAAAAACACTGGAGTTTCTCAACAGAGCTGTAAATTGAAAATAAACCTTTTCCAAGAAGAGAGCCAACATCATGGCTGCTGAGAGGCCAGATTTGTTGTCGATTGCTGTCCGGGTGCCAAGGATGAGCCTGCAGAGCAAGGGTTCTTGGGTCTGCATCCTTGTTCTGTGCCCTGCTTATGGACTCAGTGCATCCTTGTTTTGTGCTCTGCTCTGTGCTCAGTGCATCCTTGCTCTGTGCTCTTGCTTCTGTGCATCTTTGTTTTGTGCTCTGCTGTGCATCCCTGTTTTGTGTTCCGCTCATGGGCTCAGTGCATCTTTGCTCTGTGCTCTGCTCTGTGCATCCCTGTCTTGTGTTCTGCTCTGCTCTGCACATCTTTGCTCTGTGCTCTGCTCTGTGCATCCCTGTTTTGTGCTCTGCTCTGTGCTCTGCTCTCTGTGCATCCCTGTCTTGTGTTTTGCTCTGCTCTGCACATCTTTGCTCTGTGCTCTGCTCTGTGCATCCCTGTTTTGTGCTCTGCTCTGCTCTGCTTTGCACATCTTTGCTCTGTGCTCTGCTCTGTGCATCCCTGTTTCGTGCTCTGCTCTGTGCTCTGCTCTCTGTGCATCCCTGTCTTGTGTTCTGCTCTGCTCTGCACATCTTTGCTCTGTGCTCTGCTCTGTGTTCAGTGCATCCTTGCCCTGTGCTCCATTCACAGCTTCTGTGCGTCCTTGCGTTGTGCTCCACTCTGTACTCAGTGCTTGCTCTGTGCTCTGCTCATGCAGAGACCCCCTAATTGCTCTCTGCATCCTTGCTCTGTGCCCTGCTCTTAGGCTCAGTGCATCCTTGCTGGGTGCTCTGCTGTGTGCTCAGTGCCCCCATTCTCCCTGCTCTGCTCGTGCTGCACACATCCCTGGGCTGAGCACGCTACAAGCTCAGCGTTTGCTGCAGGGCTGCAGAACAGCCCCTGCGTGCTGCACAGAGCCAGGTTTGTGGCTGAGGATCGTTTTTCCCTTTTGTCTGTGCCCATTGGGGTGTGGAGGGCAGGAGCAGCCGCAGCTAAGGTGGCTCCATCTGTGACCATTTCCTTTCAGCACGGTGAGCTTTCTCAGCCTTCCAGCTGTGGTGGCCGCTGGCGCAGTGCGAACAGGAGGGGGCCGATGGCACGGCGCCCCCTGCTCCTCACGGCTCCCATCTCCCTGTCCTGCAGGCTGCAGAAGGCCCAGGAAGAGCATCGCTCCGTGGAGGTGGAAAAGGTGCACCTGGAGAAGAAGCTGCAGGACGAGATCAGCATCGCCAAGCAGGAGGCGCATCGGCTGCGAGAGCTGCGGGAGGGCACTGAGAATGAGCTGAGCAGGCAGAAGTATGCAGAGCAGGAGCTGGAGCAGGTGAGGGGCGGCCCGTGGTTGCACAAACACGCACACGTGGCATGCCATAGGAGCAGCACGCAGCCAGCACTGAGCCTGCCCGCCATCGAGCCCGGTGCCGTGCTGCTCCTAACACCTTTTTGCCTTTGCTTTTTCCTACCTCGTGAAGGAAAAGATCAGAGAATCACAGAATGGTTTGAGCTGGAGGGGATTCCTGGGGGCCCCCAGAATCACTGAATGGCCAGGGTTGGAAGGATCACGAAGCTCCAACCCCCCCACCGTATGCAGGGCCACCAACCTCCCCATTTAATGCCAGACCAATAGTAGACCTGGTGCCACTGCCTGCAATGAGCACAGCTCCATCAGTGCTCAGAGCCACCTGATGTCACCTGGCCCTTCCATCACATCCCTGCAGTGACTGGGGGAGAGGTGGTGGCTGTGGAGCTGCCCCACAGGGCAGGAATGCTGCCTGGCTTGCAGCTGCACCCCCCATCCCCTTCCAAAGCACCAGCCTTCAGATTTCTCTCTCTTTTCCATCTGTGGGTTTAGGAGAGATGTGGGGCAGCTGTTCTGCCGTTGGCTCCAGAGGTGTCCAAAGAGAACTTCCTTCCAAATGAATCTGGAAATGCAGACCTGGGGAGAGTTTTGTGTGTGATGCTGGCAGCAGTGATGTGCGAGCGATGCATTTGTGTGGCACTGTTTGAGTAATGCATCACAGGTCAGAGAAAGGGCTTCCAATGCAACATCTAAAAGCCCAGGGAGCCCCAATAAGGGCTGGAGGGAAGAGATGGAAATAAACAGCATTGCTAATGGTGGCTCAGCAGCAGGGAGCGAAGGGAGGCGTGGGAGCTGTGCCTCAGAACCACCTGGTGCCCAAACCTGCAAAGCTTTACAGCCCAAAGCACAAATGCAGCTGCCCCTCCGTTTCACCCGAGGGAAAGCTGTGCTGTGACCTGATGTGATCACAGATCACTTCCAACAGAAATAATGTGAGGCAGCACCGTGTGTCCCACAGTGCCGTGAGGTGTTTGTGTGTCCCAACCCGGCCCCCATCCACTCCACCTGGGAGGAGGAAGGAGAGGAAAGCAGAGCCCAGGCATTGCACTGGGTGGGGAGAGGTCAGCGCTCGGCCAGCAGGGAGCTGTGCAAGATTCCTTCCTCCTCTTGGTTGGAGTGAGAGCAGTTCTGACGCCCTCAGGCCCCATCCAGGATCCCAGTTTGTCACACAACCTCTCCACGAACGCACTGAGCTTCAGTGCCCAGCTGCACAGCAGCGCTGGGGCCGTTCTATGGGGTGCACAGCTCTCCAAGCCTTCCTGTCCCACCCGCTGCCAACTCGAGGGCACTCATCCGTTCCACCACTCCTGCCCTCGGGAAAGCTGCCAGCTAGAGGTGACTTCCCCTCTCTGTTGTTTCTCAGAGGCCTTCATGAGGGATGCCTCCAAAGGGTGAGTACTGGCATCGTCCTCCTGCCCCCACCGTGTGCCTGTAACACAGCCACCATCCCAGTGTCCCCCACACACAGTAACCCATCACCCCACTGACCGTAGAACTCGTCTGGTTGTTTGATGCCGTGGATATTAAACCCAGAGTTTCTTTTGCACCCGTTGGTTCTTATGACTAAAATGGTTCTGTGGGGTTGGGAGCTCGTGCTGGAGCACAGCAAGTGGTGCTGAGAGCTCAGTGTTTGGGGCTGGGCTGCTTGCAGCAAATCCATCCTCAATGGGTCCTGCTGTGCCCAAGGGGTGACCACGCAGCACAGGGTCAGAAGGCACTCATTGCTTTATGAAGTGCCACTTGGTGGTCGGGATGGGACCTTGGAGGTCATCACAGGGGAGCATACACCATATAAGCCCTGTTTGGGTTCGTTCCCTGTGATGGATGTGATGCACACAGCACATAGTAGGCAGCACGCAGCAGGCAACAGGCAGCAGATATCACAGCACGGCCTGAGCTGCAAAGGAGCACAGCTCATCCAGCTCCAAGCCCTGCTGTGTGCAGGTCACCAACCAGCAGCCCAGGCTGCCCAGAGCCACATCCAGCCTGGCCTTGAATGCCTGCAGGGCTGGGGCATCCACAGCCTCCTTGGGCACTGCGTGGGGTCAATGTGAGCCAAATGTTGGACCAGCCCTGGCTCCTGTTTGCCCCCCCGTTGCCCCCATTCCAGTGGTGCAGCACAGCAGCCATTCCCTTTCCCATAACACAGCACTGCTGCCTCTCCTCAGGTCCGAATGGCTCTGAAGAACGCCGAGAAGGAGCTGGAATCACACTGCAGCTGGGCTGCCCCCGAGGCCCTGCAGAAGTGGCTGCAGCTGACCCACGAGGTGGAGGTGCAGTACTACAACATCAAGAAGCAGAACGCGGAAAAGCAGCTCCTGGTGGCCAAGGAAGGGGTGAGCATCTCAGCATCCTGCTCTGAGATTTGCCCATCGCTGCCCGGGGGGAGGTTTGGGAATGGAAGCTGCACGGTGTGTTCTGTGCCCTCACACCATGTGCACAGCCCCTGTTCTGGCTGTCCTACGTGCTCAGGCAGCACCGTTTCCTATGAGCACATGCACTGTAGCAATGAATCACCCTCTCTGTATTCCCAGTCTTTCCAAGCTTTCTGTGCCAGCCGAGGAGCTGAGAGCTGCAGGGGAGCTGCTGTAACATGCATTCAGCTCTGTGGATGTGTGCAGAAGCCAGAGCTGACAGCTCACAGGAGTCCCTCTGCCCTACTGCACTGTTATGATGGACGTGACATGTGATAGTTCTATCCTTAGAAAGGCCAGGGCAGGCTCTGGGAGAGCCCTTCTCTGCATGGAGCAGTTGGTTTGGGTCCCTCTGATTTCTGGCGTGCTGCAGGGCTGGGGGTGCAGGGCAGCATCTCCCTGCTCAGCCCATGGGCTGGGGGTCACCCTCCTGTCCTGAAACACATTTCACACCATTCACACGTGTGCCAGCAGCTGCAGGGCTATTTCTGTCACAGCCCCTCCAGGATGTTCTTGTCCAGGAGGAAACACAAGGTCCTCGTCTTCCTCTGACCTTTCCTTCTTTCTGTTAACATTCCAGGCTGAAAAAATTAAGAAGAAGCGCAACACTCTGTTTGGAACATTTCATGTTGCTCACAGCTCGTCTCTAGATGACGTGGATCATAAAATCTTAACTGCAAAGTGAGTGTCTCCTCAAGTCCTCCCTGTCCCTGCTTCTCCTATGAGGAAAGGCTGAGGGAACTGGGCTTGTTTGGCTTGGAGAAGAGAAGGCTGCAGGGAGACCTGATGGTGGCCTTCAGTGCTTGAAGGGAGCGGATGAACAGGAGGGGGAACGGCTGTGTGTGAGGGTGGGTGGTGACAGGACAAGGGGAATGGCTTGAAAGTGAGACAGGGGAGGTTTGGGCTGGATGTGAGGAGGAAGTTTTGGAGGCAGAGGGTGGTGAGGCACTGGCACAGGTTGCCCAAGGAGGCTGTGGATGCCCCATCCCTGCAGGCATTCAAGGCCAGGCTGGATGTGGCTCTGGGCAGCCTGGGCTGCTGCTTGGCGACCTGCACACAGCAGGGCTTGGAGCTGGATGAGCGCTGTGCTCCTGTGCAGCCCAGGCCATGCTGTGATTCCATGATTCCCAGCCCTGCTGTGCTCTCAGTGGCTGGTCCCGCTCCCACCCACCAGTGCCCTGTGGTCTCAACCAATCCATACCCACACAGAGCCCCGAGTCCCACAGAAGCAGCCTTTCATAGCATTGTAAAACAGCTTGTGGTCGTGCTTTCCCTTCGAGCCCTCCTGCTTTGCTTGCAGGCAGGCACTGAGCGAGGTGACGGCAGCGCTGCGTGAGCGCCTGCATCGCTGGCAGCAGATCGAGCTGCTCTGCGGCTTCCAGATCGTCAACAACCCCGGCATCCACACGTTGGCATCCGCCCTCAACATCGACCCGGGTTGGATGGGCACCCCGAGGCCCAACCCGTCCCACTTCATCATGACCGACGACGTGGACGACCTGGATGAGGAGATCGTGTCTCCCATGTCCATGCAATGTATGCAGCCGTGGGGCGGCGCCGCATCGAGTCGGGGGTGGAGGGGGAGCAAGAGAAGGGAACTGTAGGATTGGTGATGCTGGGGGAGCTGAGAGGGGCTGCATTGGTGTTTAAGGATGGCAGGGAGGTGGGTGGGCGCCCGGGTTGGCGCTGCTCACATCTTTGGAGGAAAGGCAGAGCCTGGGGCAGCGCGTGCCTCTCGCTCCTGGGTTGCTGAGATGTTGGGTTGCATCTCGTTGTACGGGAGGACTTTGTGAACCAGCCCTGGCTGCAGCACCCACACTCACACGGGGCCTCGCTTCTCCTCCCAACGTGCAAAGTCCACCTGCAGCTTCCTATCTGTAGTTGTGTGAGAGGAAGGGAAGCCTTGGCAGGAGCAGCGCTGGGAGCAGAGCAGCCCGTGCTGACGGCACTGGATGCAGCAAGCTTTCTAGGTGGCCTCCTTCGGGTGATTTGCTGCTCAGGTCCTCCTCAGCGCTGGGTCTGTAAGAGGCAGGAGGTGGGAGGAGGAGCAGAGGAGCCCGGTGCTGTCCTGTTGGTGCCCATCAACTCTTGGAAAGGGGAGATGGCAGCAGGACAAGGGGAAATGGTTTGGAGTTGAGGGAGGGCAGCTGGAGGTTGGATGTCAGGGGGAAGTTGTTTAGAGAGAGAGTGGTGAGGGGCTGGAACAGCTGCCCAGAGAGGCTGTGATGCCCCGTCCATCCCTGGAGGTGTTCAAGGCCAGGTTGGATGGGGCCCTGGGCAGCCTGGGCTGCTGTGAGATGGGGAGGTTGGTGGCCCTGCATTGGTGGGGGCTTGGAGCTTCGTGATCCTTGAGCTCCCTTCCAACCCAAACCATTCTGTGATGCTGTAATCTTCCCTCCCCTGGGTTCAGCCCTGCTCAGGGATGGGGAGGGACCAAAGGTTTGGAGCAGGGCAGCAGCACAGAGCACCCAGAGCTGAAGAGAGATCTGCAGCAGCTGGGAAGGCTGCAGGAGGGATGGGCTGTGGGCATTCCATGGGATCAATAGGTGCAGGGTGTGGATCCTCCTAAAACATGTGTTTTAGGAGGAAGTTTTTCACACACAGGGTGGTGAGGCACTGGCACAGGTTGCCCAAGGAGGCTGTGGATGCCCCATCCCTGCAGGCATTCAAGGCCAGGCTGGATGTGGCTCTGGGCAGCCTGGGCTGCTGGTTGGCGACCTGCACACAGCAGGGGGTTGGAGCTGGATGAGCATTGAGCTCCTTTGCAACCCAGGCCATCCCATGGCTCTGTGGTTCTGTGATCAGGGAGCAGCAGCAGGATGCTCAGGGCTGCTGCTCCCCACGGTCACTTCTTTCTCTTCCCCCCACCTCCCCCAGACGCAGCCTGGCTCTTTGGGCGCAGGTTCAGCGATCGCTCGTCTCTGTCCTCGGAGGATCAGTCCCTGTGGAAATACCCTGGTTTGGTTCTTTTTAATTATATCCACTTTATTTTGTTCTATTCTCTGCCCTTTTTCTGGACTAAAAATACATCCGCAGATTTTCCAACTTTCTGGCACGGAACAACTAACAGATGAACCTCTGTACATGGAGTCACCCTCACTAACACCAGGGAGGAGCCTGGTGGGATGAGGAAGAACCACAGCTGGCTGCACCCTGAGGGCTTGGGTTTAGAAAGCAAAAACCCATTGGGCAGCTGCTGGGCAGTCGGAGTGTTGCTGTGGGTGGCTGAGGGGATCTTCCCTCCCAGTGCCTTCCCCAGAGCTGTGTGGAATGAAATATGCTGAGCAGTGCTGTGTGCTGTGCCAGTCTGTCCCCAGGCTCTGATCCTGGGCTGAAGGCTGTGAACAGGATGATTGTCTGCTATAGGATGGGGGAATGCTGTGGATGCCCCATCCCTGCAGGCATTCAAGGCCAGGCTGGATGTGGCTCTGGGCAGCCTGGGCTGCTGCTTGGCGACCTGCACACAGCAGGGCTTGGAGCTGGATGAGCGCTGTGCTCCTTTGCAGCCCAGGCCATGCTGTGATTCTATGATGTGAGGCTTTGCTGCAGCAGGGAGGGCAGGGCTCAGCTTTTGGTCCCACACTCATTGCAAGGAAAAGGAGAGCGCAGAGCTGTAGGGTGCCAAGCTGGTAAGTGGGAATAACAGCAGGAGAGACCTCATGGGGAAAAGGTGTATCCCAGGACAAGCAGATACCCATGGAATCACACTGGAGAAGAACCACCAATGTGAAAATAAAGCTGCCTGAGTGATGCTTGCTGTTCCTTCTCCCACTCGAGGTGTCCCTGCAGGGATCCTGCATTGCTGCCAGCAGAGCAGCAGGAGGATCTGATGTCCCTGAGGGATGTTAAGGCAGTGATGTGCTGGTTCTTCGATTCCCACAAGAGCTCTCCTTCTGCCTCACTTCTGAGCTTTCCTCTCTGTTCACCTCCGTAACCGATTGCACATTTACTCCTCATGCTGTGTATGTCACCCTGAACACCTTATCTCCTGCAGAAGGGGAACAGCTCGTGTGGATGTGAGAGAATGGACTGCATGCTCTGCTCCAAAATCTGCAGCGTAGGGTTTGGGGCACAGCTGAGGGACTGAGCTCCCTGGCCATGTGTGACTTCAGTGACACCCTTTGGGACCAGCCCTGTAATATCCATCCCCTGTAATCCCAGCTGTGATGGCACCTGACAAAGGCCCCATCCCTGGAGGTGTTCAAGGCCAGGTTGGATGGGGCCCTGGGCAGCCTGGGCTGCTATGAAATGGGAAGGTTGGTGGCCCTGCATGGCACAGGGGGGTTGGAGCTTCGTGATCCTTGAGCTCCCTTCCAACCCAAACCATTCTGTAACGCTGGGATTAGCACCCAGCTCCCACGTCTGCCACAGAGGGCACGGAGCTGAGCATCCCTGCGCTGACCCCCAGGCTGCAGAGCAATGGGACAGCCCAGCCATGGGGTATGAGGGGCTCAGTGCCTGTGCTGGGGGAACCAACGTACCCCAGACGTGCTGCTGTGCTGCAGAGGAGCCCAGCAGGGAGCAGCCAGATGGGCTGGGCAGGGTGAGGACGGTCAGATAAGGTGTTCAGAAAGCAGCCGCGTTGGGAATGTTGGGCACAGCTTCTCACCAGCAGCCATTAACGAAGCAGCAGCACCAACCTTAACGCCTGTGCTCCAAAGCAGCGCTGCGGTCGGGGTCCCATCTCAGAGCGTTCAGCCCCTCTCCCTTCTCTCCTTGCAGCTCCTGCTTTGCCCAGCACCGTTCGCCAGCGCCTGGTGGACCCCCAGCACGGCCACGGATCTCAGAGGTTGGTAGAGAGTTATGTGCACAGCCAGCATGAGCCGGGCCAGCCTGCCCAGCACCCGGCGGGCCGAATGCCCCTCCGTCGAATGCACAGCCTCTCCTCCGGACAGCCTTTCAGTTCTGACCTTCCTGGCACCGCTCCGTCATCCACCACAGCCACCTCTTGCTCCTCATCCGCCACTCCTGCACCTGCTTCCCATGTCCACCCTCTCTATCACCATCACACCACCTCTTATTTCCTTCAGATGGACTCCAACCCCGATCTGCCCCCTCCTGATGTCACCTCTGGAGCTCGCTGTGGCACTGAGAGCTTTGGGTATATGCCGTTTCTTTTCTCGCTCCCTCCCTCCTGCTGTGTCCCAGGGCTGCTGCTTGCAGGGCTGCTTTCTCTCCTCCATCCCTCCCCGCTTTCCTTTGGGGTGTCTGCATCGTGGTTTACCCATAGCTGTGTTTCCTCCCCCCCTCCCTCCCCTCTCAGGAGTCTCAGGGAGCGCTCTGCTGTCCGTTCCCATCGCCGTGAGCTCAGCTGTGGGTAAATCCAGGGGTGCTGGATTGGCTCTGGGGCACTCAGACCGTGGCTGGGGGCTGCAGATGAGGGGATGCAACCCACTGAGCAAACACTGACCTTGCAGGAAGCCTTTGTGCTTTGGGGGGCTTGCAAAGGAAACAAGGTGGGTGCATTGCTGTGAGCTCGCATTGGAGCTGCTGGGCGCTGTGAGCTCAGTGCTGACAGGACCTGGAGATCCACTGCGTTGTGCTTCCAGCTGAGGGACCTCTGAGCAGCAGCAGTGCAAGGCAAGGGGAAATGGCTCGGGACAAGGGGAAGTGGTTTGGAGTTGAGGGAGGGCAGCTGGAGGTTGGATGTCAGGGAGAAGTTGTTTAGAGAGTGGTGAGGGGCTGGAACAGCTGCCCAGAGAGGCTGTGATGCCCCGTCCATCCCTGGAGGTGTTCAAGGCCAGGTTGGATGGGGCCCTGGGCAGCCTGGGCTGCTGTGAAATGGGGAGGTTGGTGGCCCTGCATTGGAGGGAGGTTGGAGCTTCGTGATCCTTGAGCTCCCTTCCAACCCAAGCTATTCTGTGATGCTGTGAGGCAGAGCTCCATGTTCCCAGATCTCAGGCTGCTGTTCAGTGCCTCTCAGGTGAGGACTGGGGGCTTTTTGGGGCCCTCTGCCCACACAGCAGCCATTGTCACCCCACATCTTCTCCTGCACCGAGCTGTGTGTGGGTGCAGCTGAGCCGGGCAGCATCCTGCAGTGGGGCAGAGCAGGGGATGCTCACAGGGAGCAGGAGGTCCTGTGTCACCCTGCTGGGAACCCTGTGTCTGTTGGGAGCTGCAGCGAGGCCCCCAGGTCTGGGGGGCTGCAGTGGTCACTGTGCCCCATGGACCCCCCTCCTGGAGCTGCCCCATGGCTGTGCTGCATCGCTTTGTTCTGTGCTGGGCTTTGGGAAGGGAGCTGATGGGAGCAGGCTGGAGGGGTCCTGGTGGGTCGGGCAGGACAGTGCTGCTCCCACTGACCTGCAGTGACAGGCAGCCATCCCAGATCAGCCACCTCCATCTGCAGCACACTGCAGGGCCTGGCATCGTGGTGCAGCATGGGGTGCTGTGGTGTGGGGTGCTGTGGGCACAGGGTGCTGCACTACGGGGTGCTGCACCTCAGCAGGCTCTAAGCCCTAGGCTGTACCTCTCAATGGGGGACACAGGGAGGCACCAGTTTTGCTGCAGAAAACCACAGCGCAGAGTCCAAAAGCAGCATCGTGGTTTGCTGGGCAGTGTTTGTTTGGGGATTAGGAGAAGCAGCGTAATTAAAATGCCACTTAATTAATTACTGCCAATTTGGGTCCGGCGGAGTCTCTCCTGGCCCTGGGATTGCTCCCAGCTGCCCTAACCTGGCTCTGCAACCAGCAAACAGCTGAGTGCTGTGCTCTGCTGTGCGCTGCTGAACGGCTGTGTGGGTCGGTGCTGAGGGGCTGCAGAGGGAACCCAATTAGAACAGGTCATTAGCAGGGAGTCGTGGCTGGCTTCTCACATTCCCCTCCATCACTCAGAGCTAATCGGAGCTGATTGCTGCTCGCTGCTTGCTCTCTGTCCCCAGTGGTGCAGCACTGTAGTCCTGCAGAGCACGAATGGTTGGTTGGGCAGGTTGGATGGGGCTCTGGGCAGCCTGGTCTGGTATTAGATATGGAGGTTGGCAGCCCTGCACGCTGCAGGGGGGTTGGAGCTTTGTGATCTTTGAGGTCCCCTTCCAACCCATGGCATTCTATGGTTCAGCTCTGCAGGAGCAGAGCCCTAAATCCACGCTCTGCCTCTGTTTGTCGTGGAAAGCAGTGATGGAGAACTGGGCGAAGTGGAGCTGTTGCTTTGATGTTACCAACAAGCTGCGTCTGTAGCAGCACAGCGCTCCTGGGCAGGAGGGATTTTGGGCTGCAGGGTCAGCTCAGCCCACGTGGCTGTGCTGGGGGGTGAGGAGGGCTGCCCAGAGCCCTGGCAGGGAGCTCTGCCGTCCAGCAACCGCTCACTGTTTGCTTCTCTTTTGCAATTGGCTTCAGAGGATCCGGTGCGAATAAGGTCAGAGCTGGTGTGAGTTGGGAGGCTGATGTGGGTCTGTCCGTGTCAGCATGGGGCTGGAGGGGCTGCAAGGCTGCCTGCACAGGGCTCTGTGTGTGTGTGCACAGGGCTCTGTGTGTGTGTGCACAGGGCTGTGTGTGTGTGCATAGGGCTCTGTGTGTGTGTGCATAGGGCTCTGTGTGTGTGTGCACAGGGCTCTGTGTGTGTGTGCACAGGGCTCTATGTGTGCATAGGGCTCTGTGTGTGTGCACAGGGCTGTGTGTGTGTGCACAGGGCTGTGTGTGTGTGCACAGGGCTCTGTGTGTGTGCATAGGGCTCTGTGTGTGTGTGCACAGGGCTCTGTGTGTGTGTGCATAGGGCTCTGTGTGTGTGCACAGGGCTCTGTGTGTGTGCATAGGGCTCTGTGTGTGTGTGCACAGGGCTGTGTGTGTGTGCACAGGGCTCTGTGTGTGTGCATAGGGCTCTGTGTGTGTGTGCACAGGGCTCTGTGTGTGTGTGCACAGGGCTCTGTGTGTGTGCACAGGGCTGTGTGTGTGTGTGCATAGGGCTCTGTGTGTGTGCATAGGGCTGTGTGTGTGTGCACAGGGCTCTGTGTCTGTGCACAGGGCTCTGTGTGTGTGTGCATAGAGCTCTGTGTGTGTGCACAGGGCTCTATGTGTGTGCACTGGGCTCTGTGTGTGTGCACAGGGCTCTGTGTGTGTGCATAGAGCTCTGTGTGTGTGTGCACAGGGCTCTGTGTGTGTGTGCATAGGGCTCTGTGTGTGTGTGCACAGGGCTCTGTGTGTGCATAGAGCTCTGTGTGTGTGCACAGGGCTCTGTGTGTGTGCACAGGGCTCTGTGTGTGTGCATAGAGCTCTGTGTGTGTGCACAGGGCTCTGTGTGTGTGTGCATAGGGCTCTGTGTGTGTGCATAGAGCTCTGTGTGTGTGCACAGGGCTCTGTGTGTGTGTGCATAGGGCTCTGTGTGTGTGTGCATAGGGCTCTGTGTGTGTGTGCACAGGGCTGTGTGTGTGTGCACAGGGCTGTGTGTGTGTGCACAGGGCTGTGTGTGTGTGCATAGGGCTCTGTGTGTGTGCATAGGGCTCTGTGTCTGTGCACAGGGCTCTGTGTGTGTGTGCACAGGGCTCTGTGTGTGTGTGCACAGGGCTCTGTGTGTGTGTGCATAGGGCTCTGTGTGTGTGTGCATAGGGCTCTGTGTGTGTGCATAGAGCTCTGTGTGTGTGCACAGGTCTCTGTGTGTGTGTGCATAGGACTCTGTGTGTGTGCACAGGGCTGTGTGTGTGTGTGCATAGAGCTCTGTGTGTGTGCACAGGTCTCTGTGTGTGTGTGCACAGGGCTGTGTGTGTGTGTGCATAGAGCTCTGTGTGTGTGCACAGGTCTCTGTGTGTGTGTGCACAGGGCTCTGTGTGTGTGTGCATAGAGCTCTGTGTGTGTGTGCACAGGGCTCTGTGTGTGTGCACAGGGCTCTGTGTGTGTGCATAGAGCTCTGTGTGTGTGTGCACAGGGCTCTGTGTGTGTGTGCACAGGGCTCTGTGTGTGCATAGAGCTCTGTGTGTGTGCACAGGGCTCTGTGTGTGTGTGCACAGGGCTCTGTGTGTGTGTGCATAGGGCTCTGTGTGTGTGTGCACAGGGCTCTGTGTGTGTGCACAGGGCTCTGTGTGTGTGTGCATAGAGCTCTGTGTGTGTGTGCACAGGGCTGTGTGTGTGTGTGCATAGAGCTCTGTGTGTGTGCACAGGTCTCTGTGTGTGTGCACAGGGCTCTCTGTGCACAGGGGTTTCTGCTCACCGGTGCCGTCTCTCCATGGTAGGGTGGGAACGGGGCAGGTTGGGCTGTGAGACCCCAACTAGGAGGGGAGGCAGCAGCTGAGGCAAAAGCAGAGGGGCTGCAGTTTGCTCTGTGTCAGAGCAGCGCTGAGCACAGCAGCCACACGCTGCAGCAGGAGCCCATTGCAGGAGCTCATCCCGCGGACTGCAGGGCTGAGCAGCCCGTATTTCTTTTCTCTTGTCCTCCCATCCTCTCCTCTCTTCCTCCATCCCCACCAGCCCTTCCTTCTGCCATGGTTCGCTCTCTGCTTCTTTTGCTCGCCGAATGCAGCACATCCACATCTCCCTGCTGGCTCCCATTCCTCGCGGGCGGTTTGGATTCCTGGAGCAGTGATGGAGGAGGCGCAGATGGGAGCAGGGAGGGCAGATGGAGCAGAGCAGAGCGCGGCTCCTGCCTGCAGGCTGCTTAAATCTGCCCCAGCCCATCGGTGTGAGCACAGCCAGCTGCACACAAAAGAAACACCAGAGGTGCCCGGGTCTCTCCGTGCTCAGATCTGAGTTCAGGAAAGGCAGCAGGTGGTGGCTTTGCCATAGCACAGGAATGCTCAGCGGCACCTTCCAGCCCTGTGCTCTGCACCCAGCCCTGGCAGCACGCTGTCCTCACAGCTGCAGGCAGCATTTCCTGTGGAAAATCTATGGGCAGCAGCAGGAACTGTGCCAGCCCTGTCAGCTGAGCCTCAGCCCTGTGTCCTCTGTGCCAGCCCTCTTTCTTGGCAGGGCAGCGTGTGCCTGGTGTCACATCCCCACGGACAGCACCAGTGTCACATCCCCACGGCTACTGCTTGGTGTCACATCCCCCACATGGCCCTGCTGTCACATCCCCACGGATAGTGCTTGGCTTGGTCACATCCCCATGGACAGCCCTGATGTCACATCCCCACAGAAGGCCTTGGTCTTACTTGCCTGTGGACAGCCCTGGTGCCACATGCCCATGGATACTGCCTGATGTCACATCCCACAGATGGTCCTGGTGTCACATCCCCGTGGATGGTGCTTGGTGTCACATCCCTATGGATACCACCTGGTGTCGCATCCCCACGGACAGCCTCAGCATCACTTCCTTATGCGAGCCCTGGTCTCACATCCCCATGGATAACCCTGATCTCACATCCCTGTGCACAGCTCTGGCCCCAGGACCATGCCGGGCTCCTTTCCTCCTGCCCACAGTTCTCACTCCATGATCAGGGGGGCATCCCACAGTGCTGACAGCAGTAGAACCGCAGCAGTGGCCCCTCAGTGCCACCAGTGGAGGTGACACCCTGAGGTGACATCCCTGCCTGTGTCCTCGCCATCACCCCTGCTGTGAGCACAGAGCAGCTGTCCCAGCTCAGGTTTCCATCGCGTGCAGTTGGAGGCAGGGCGCCCTGCGGCCCCACAGGACGGTTCCCCGCCTGCTGGCTGTGATGTTGTGGCTGCTGTTGTCTCATGGGTTAAGAACGGCCCCTCGGGAAGGAGGAGCAGAGGCTCTGCATCGCCTCGTGGGTGCTGCGTCAGCTCAGGGGTGCTGTGTCACCTCGCGGACGCTGCAGGGTGCAGCTCTTATTCTTGCTGCAGAATCCCTTTCGTTTGAAAGGACATCTCTTGCACCAGACACCTCGGTGCTTACAAAGCCTGGGTGGGCTTTGGAAGAGAAGGACGCTTGGTGCCGTTATCGCTTCGAGGTGCAGAGCAGCAGGCGTTGCAGCTGAGCTCACTTCTTGCAGGCTGCAGTGGCTGACCATGTTTGGGTGAACTTCATGGAGCCTTGAAGGCTGGAAAGACCCCCAGGCCACCCCGCTGTGCCCACTGCCCACATCCCTCACTGCCCCACCTGAGCACCGCCAGGGATGGTGACCCCCCCTATCCTTGGGTAGCCGTGCCGGTGCATTGCCACTCTTTCCAAGAGGAAATTGTTCCTCATCCCCAACCCCTTCATCCCCAACCTGACCCCGCTGTTACGCAGGGCTCAGCCCCACATCCGTGTTCTTTCCCGTGGCTTTGTTCCCAAAGACCTTTGTTACCATTGCAGAGCTCTGTGCTGTGAGGGCCGCCCCACCATTGGCGCAGTGCTGTTGGGTGACCCACAGCGGGCTGCTTGTGGCCTCTCCCATCTGTGCCCTTTCATACAGTGCTGCCAGGTCCATTGGGGACACCTGGGGACGCCACGCCATGATGTGCCCTGAGGGGCAGAGGGAGTGGGGCAGCAGCGCGTGGCTCCGTCCATTGAGGACATGGGTCAGTGGGGGCAGTGGCAGAGCGCTGCGGCTTCCCCTGCCCTGGGGACCCCTTCCCCACTTTGGAAAGAAGCCGTTCAGGGCAGCAGGGCAGCATTGCATTGCTTTTGGCACCGCAGGAGGAAGGCACCGGGCGGGGGCACAAACCGCTGGGCTGCGGGGCTGGGCAGGGGGCGCGGGCTGGGCTGCAGCCCCCCACGGGGCCGGGGTCGATCTGTGGGTGCAGGGCTGGGCTGAGGGCCGGGGGGCTCGGGCCCAACTGCGGGGCTGGGGCTGCACTCCTGAGCTCGGGGCCGCTGCCGTGGGTCGGGGCTCTCCGTGCCACGGCTGCGCTCCGGCCGTGCCTGCGCCCTGCGTGCGGCCGATGGCGCCCCATCCCGGGTCCCTGCAGCGCCCGCGAGGACGGGGCTCAGGGGAAGGTGCTGGCCCAGCTCCCATCCCTCTGCTGCGGTGCCACCCGCTCGGTCCGGGTGCTGCTAACCATCCATCCATCCTCTCCATGCAGAGACCTGACGCGCTGCGACTCCGAGTCGTCCATCCCGCACCTGAGCGAAGCCCAGCGCCTGCCCAGCGCTGCTCCCAAGCTGCTGGCCGCCCGGCCCGCTCTGCTCACCCGATCCATCGAGGATGCCGGATCCGGGCACACCCCAAACGGAGGCAGCCGACACGCGGAGCCCCCCGGCCCGGAGCGACCGTCCGAGAGCCCCTCGGTGATGAAGAAGATGATGATGGTGAACCACGGCATGGAGAAATCCTCCAGCCTGGGGGAGATCGGCCACCCGGCGGCCTCCAAGCACAGCCACTCGGATTCCTCGCGGTCGCACAGCCCCAGCTCCACCGACCCCGACACCCCGTCCCCCATCTCTGACTGCCGGCCCAACAGCTCCAAGAGCACCCGCATCCCGCAGCTGGCTGCCAAGAAGGGCGCAGGGGATGAGGACGGCAGCCTGACGGGCGACGAGATCGACCCGGGCCAGAGCAAGAAAAAGTTCCCCCTAAAGATCTTCAAGAAGCCCAGGAAATAGAGGGGGAGGGCGGAGGAACCCCACGGAGCGACCCGCTGGCACCGGGGGAGCGCGCCCGGCCCCGGGCATTGGGAACCGCGTCCCCGCGGCGAGAGGAGCTATTTAAACTTATTTATTGGCCGGGCTGAGAAGCCAGAAGGCATCTGCACCCCCCGAAGGCGACAGCCGCCCTGTCTCACCCCCCCTCCCCGTCGCTGTAGTCCCCGGCTTTGCTGTGCATGGCTTCCAGTTATCCGCCTCCGCTCGGCCACACGGCGTATTTGGGTTTGGTTTCAATGAGCTTTTATTTGTATTTTTCTATTTTGTACCTTTTTGTTTTTTTCGGTTCTTCTGCCTCCGCCGCCCTGCGCACAGTCGGGGCGCTGGGGGTCGGGGAGGGGCAGGTTGGGGGGATGGATGCCCTCCTGGCTCCCGATGGGCAGAGCACTCTGAGCCCCCTCCCCGTGGTGCTGCGCTGCCCAGCAGCGTTATCCCGCTCGCACCCCAGCAGTGCTGCCCGCTGGGGTCACCGGGGATGGAGCTGGGGCTCAGCAGCCGCCCGTTGCTCCGTCTGCCTGCCTGGAGAGGGCCGGGTTGGGCTCAGCTTCAAGGCTGGGGACGGCGCAGATGGATGGCCGCACCGTGGGGTGGGCTGTGTGCCCCACATACGGGGTGAGCGGAGGCCCAGCAGGTCCTGAGGCTGCTGGAGCTGCTGTGCTCAGGGCTGATCTCTGCTCTGTTGCTCACTGCCCTGCCCGGCCCCCCGCACAGCACCGCTATGGGGGGCGGCTGCTGCCCCGAGGCCGACCCAGAGCACAGAGGTGAGGGGATGCCGGCAGCCTCTGGGGCCGTGCTTTGTGCCAGAGTGACACGTCCACATCCATCGCCAAGACGGGAAGGGCTGTAAAGGTGTTTTTTCGTTCCGTAGGTGGTAGTTAGACAATGAGCTGTTGCTTTAAGTGAAAATTTCCTCTCAATGACTTTTAAGTGCCTGCAGTGCCCAAGGCTGCGCTCCGGGCGCTGCTCCCGGAGGTGGGGGGGGGGGGGGTCGAAGATCCACGGAGCGGAACTGGTGGTGACGCCTCTGCCAACTCGATTTATTTTATTTTTGGGCCATTTCATAAAACTTTTAAATCCAATAAAGCATGTAGTCTATTTTACGAGCAGGCGCCTGCTGTGCTCTCTCTTCCTGCCCTGCAGAGGTGGGGTCCCGGCTGGGAGGATCGAGGCAGGGCTGGGTGCCCACAGGAAGGATGGATGGACACCGGGACCGGGCTGAGGACGCCACCCAGGGGCGCCCGGGCAGCCTCCAAGGAAGGCCGTGCCTCCAAGGAAGGCTCATCCCCACCTGTCCTGTCCAGCAGTGTGTGGGGATGGCGAGCTGGAAAGGAGCCCCTGAAGCTCCAGGCTCACCCTTGGGCCATCCCAGCCCCGGGCTCAGGATGTGCACAGGGCCACGCAGAGGCGGCTGCTGCGGGCAGAACGCTGCCAGCCCCGCTGGGTCCATGCAGCTGCCCCAAGGCAGACGGTGCCCACAAGGGCCAGCAAGGGACTGGAGCGCAGCCCGCACCGCCAGCCCTGCTCATAGAGAGTCCCTTGGAGGCACCTTTTGGAGCACACAGAACGTTTCCAGGAAAGAGGATTAAAATCCACGCTGGGATCAGTGATCACCAACCTCTGGGACGCGGCACCGCGGCGCTGCCCGGCGCCGGTTCAGCTCTCGCTGTGCGGCGGTGTGGTGAAGTCGCTGCTGCTCAGGGTGATGGTGAAGGGCACCTCGATGATGGGCTCGGTGCTGGCAGCGGTTCTCCCCCAGGAGTGGAGGGGCTGCATGGCTTTCTGGAAGCGCTGCGGGGGTGCGAGGGTGGGAAACTGCTGCAGAGTTGTCCAGCCCCCGCTCCGCATCCAGACCTCGTGGCTTCAGCCCCTTTTCTCTCTTGGGGAGGGGAAAGCATCACCCCCGGTCGTCCCTGTCTCCAGCAGTGGGTCAGCCCCTGCTCTGCCCCCGTCACTGTTCCCATCCCCGTCTCAACCCCATCCCCATGTTTGCATTCCTGTCTTTCTCCCCACCCCCATCCCCATCCCATCCCCATCCCAATCCCATCCCCATCCCAACCCCATCCCAACCCCATCCCCATCCCAACCCCATCCCCATCACAACCACATCCCATCTCCATCCCATCCCCATCCCATCCCCATCCCAACCCCATCCCCATCCCCACCCCCATCCCATCTCCATCCCATCCCCATCCCATCCTCATCCCAACCCCATCCCCATCCCCACCCCCATCCCATCTCCATCCCAACCCCATCCCCATCCCCATCCCCATCCCCACCATCCCCATCCCCACCATCCCCATCCCCATCCCCACCCCCATCCCCATCCCCATCCCCATTCCATCTCCATCCCATCCCCATCCCATCCCCATCCCCACCCCCACCCCCATCCCCATTCCATCTCCATCCCATCCCCACCCCCATCCCCATCCCCATCCCATCCCCATCCCAACCCCATCCCCATCCCCACCCCCATCCCATCTCCATCCCATCCCCATCCCCATCCCCATCCCCATCCCCACCATCCCCATCCCCATCCCCACCCCCATCCCCATCCCCATCCCCATCCCCATTCCATCTCCATCCCATCCCCATCCCATCTCCATCCCATCCCCATCCCCACCCCCATCCCATCTCCATCCCATCCCCATCCCATCCCCATCCCAACCCCATCCCCATCCCCACCCCCATCCCATCTCCATCCCACCCCCATCCCCATCCCCATCCCCATCCCCATTCCATCTCCATCCCATCCCCATCCCATCCCCATCCCCACCCCCAACCCCATCCCCATTCCATCTCCATCCCATCCCCACCCCCATCCCCATCCCCATCCCCATTCCATCTCCATCCCATCCGCATCCCCATCCCCATCCCCATCCCATCTCCATCCCATCCCCATCCCATCTCCATCCCATCCCCATCCCCTCCCCACCCCCATCCTAGCACCATCCCCACCCCCATCCCATCCTCATCCCCATTCCATCCTGACCCTCATCCCATCCCACCCCTATCCCACCCCCATCCCCTCTTCCACCCCATCTCCATTCTGTCCCTATCCCCATTCCACCCCATCCCCCAGCCTGCCCAGTTCACACTCACATCTCTCAGTGTCCCAGTCTGGTGGCACAGAGCCACAATGGCACCGATGGGGATCTGCACACAGCTGAGGACGCCCATGCAGACACCCAGGCTGGTGCCCCACGCTGGGAACTCATAGGTGCCGTAGCGCAGGGGAACGTTGTACATGTCCAGGAACGTGAAGATGAGTGTGAACTGTGAGGATGGAGCGGGCAGCAGTGTGATGAAGGCACCGTGGGGACATCAGGGCCACCCGGGCTGCCCCCCTGACCGAGAGGAGCTCAGGCAGTGCCCAACACTTACCAGCAGCAGGCAGGGGGTGAAGAAGACCCAGCACACCTTGAAGCAGCCCAGCACACGGCTGTACCACGGCGGGCAGCGGCAGATCATGGTCACAATGTCCCAGCAGAACCGCTGAATGCCTGTGGGACACGGGGTCACAGCCAGCCCCCCACCCCAGCAGGGCTCTGTGCCAGGCACCCACAGCCCCTGTGCCCCCCCCAGGACATCAGGATGGTGCCATGTGGGTGGGCAGTGCTGAAACCGCTTCCCAGGGTGCAGGGAAGATCACAGCCCAGCTCTGCTCCGTGGAACCCCTCAGTTCCACTCCGTGGAGCCCCCCCAGCTCTGCTCCTTGGAGCCCCCCACCTCCGCTCACCATAGCAGGAGGCGATGCCGATGCACATGAGGAGGGTGATGATGATCAGCCCGAAGCTGGTGCTGTAGGTGTCAATGAGGGTGAACCAGAAGATGCCACCCTATGAGTGGGCAGGTCAGCACCCGGGATCCATACAGGGGGGCGGGCCCTCTGTGCCCCCAGGACAACCCCCAGGATGCATCCAGCATGGGCCCCACGCACCTGGGTGACGAGGAGGAGCCCCAGGAGGTAGAAGGAGAAGCAGAGCACAGCCAGGAACGTCACCTTCCTCTTCCCCTCCCGCAGGGCTGGGAACTCATCCATGATGGCGGTCGTGATGGCCTCGATGTTCCCAAACTGAGGGACAGGGATGTCAAGGGGGTGGCAGGAAACCCACCTTCACCAGGATGGTCCCCGCAGCACCCTTGTCCCCATTGCACTGAGCACACGTGGCCTTGGGCGCAGCCCCACCAGGGGCACGTAGCAGCCTCACCTCCCTGGGTGGACCCACTGGCTCTGCATCCCACCCCAGCGGCAGCCCCACACGCACAGAGCTCCCCAGCCCCACGTTCTGTGCACATTTTGCCTCCTGCATGCCGAGGTCAGGGTGTACCTGGCACCACAAGGCCAGGCACAGGGCGGGACAGGGGACTTCCCAGTGTGACAATCACCAAAGTGTCCACTCCCAGCATGAAGAGCATCAGGAAGAAGAGGATGGACCAGAACGGGGAACCAGGCAGCAGGGAGAGAGCCTCAGGGTACGCCACGAACGCCAGCCCAGGGCCTGCAGGATGGAGACATCAGGATGAGGGAAAACACCGTGGTGCTCAACAGCACCCCCTCACACAGCACCCCGTGTCTCCAAAACCACACCAGACTCAGCGACGCTGCCCACAGGGATGTCCCTCTTCAAGGCCATGTGTCCCAGCACCGAGAAGATGGCGAAGCCGGCCAAGAAACTGGTGCAGCAGTTCCCGATGGCGATGACCAGGGTGTCCCTGCCAGGGAGAGCGTCTCTACCCCACATCCACGGGGAGGACGGAGTGGGGCACCCCCCCCCCAGGGACTCACGTCCCCACTGCCGCCCCTCAGCGCCCACCCCCAGCTCACCGAACGACGTTGTTGTCAAACTTGTTGTAGGAGGCCATGGAGAGCAGCCCCCCAAAGCCGATGCCCAGCGAGTAGAAGATCTGCGAGGCCGCATCGCTCCACACCTGGGGGCACGAGGCCACGGGGGGGCTGTCGGGTCCCACCCACCCCCACTGCCCCCATCTGGGGGTCTCACAGCTCCCGGCCCCGGCGTTGGCGTTACCTGCGCGCTCAGCAGCTTGCTCCAATCCGAGGAGAGGTAGAAGCGGACGCCATCGAGGGAGCCGGGCAGCGTGGCCCCACGGATGATGAGGATGAGGAGGATCAGGTAGGGGAAGGTGGCCGTGATGTACACCACCTGCACAGGGCACAGCTCAGCCCCGCTCTGCTGGCTCAGCATCCCCAGCTGTGCTCCCCCCCCTTCCCTGCTCACCTTGCCTGAGCTGTGGATGCCCCCCAGCATGCACAGGAAGACCACGATCCAGGCTGCCAGCAGACACAGTGCAAGCAGCCACTGCACTGAGCCGGGGTCACCAAGGCCAGAGCTGTGTGTCACTCCCAGCACCTGCTCGCTGAGGTGTGGGGATGGCAGTCAGTGGGATGGGGATGCTGAATCCCTGAGCCCCCACGCTGTGGGACCGGGGGGAAGGAGCCAGCTTGCTTCCACCAACTTACTTCCAGAAAGCCTCACTGGCACTGGTATGGGTAGCACTCCCTGATGCATTCTGCAAGACACCATCATCATCATCATCACCACCACGATCATCATCATCATCACCATCACCACCACCACCATCATCATCATCACCATCATCACCACCACCATCATCATCATCACCACCACCACCATCATCATCATCATCATCACCACCATCACCACCATCACCATCATCATCATCATCATCACCACCATCATCATCATCATCATCACCACCATCACCATCAACATCATCACCACCACCACCATCATCATCATCACCACCATCATCATCATCACCATCATCACCACCACCATCAACATCATCACCACCATCATCATCATCAACATCATCACCACCACCATCAACATCATCACCACCACCACCACCATCATCACCACCATCATCATCACCACCATCAACATCATCATCATCACCATCATCACCATCATCACCACCACCATCAACATCATCACCACCACCATCAACATCATCACCACCATCACCATCATCACCACCATCATCATCATCACCATCATCACCACCACCATCAACATCATCACCACCACCACCATCAACATCATCATCACCATCATCATCACCACCACCACCACCACCACCACCATCATCATCACCATCAACATCATCACCACCACCACCATCAACATCATCACCACCATCATCAGCAGCATCACCACCATCATCATCACCACCACCACCATCAACATCTTCACCACCACCATCATCATCATCACCACCATCATCAACATCACCACCATCACCACAATCATCACCCCTCCCCCCACCATCATCATCACCATCACCACCACCACCATCATCATCATCACCATCATCATCACCACGGCCATCATCATCATCATCACCACCACCACTATCAAAACCATCACCATCATCACCACTCCCACCACTCCCTCCACCATCACCACCACCATCACCACCCCTCCCATCATCACCACCATCATCATCACCCCCCTCCAACCCTCCCTGGCCCCGGCCCCAGCCTGATCTGCTGCCCCTTCCCCAGCTGCAGGTAAAGCCTGACCCTGAGGGATCCCCATCCCCGGATCCCCGTCCCGTTCCTGCTCAGGGCCGCCGACCTGGCAGAGCTCCGCGTTCCGGGGGGCATCGCAGGACCAGGGCAGGGGGCTCTGGAAGGACGAGCCCAGGTAGTAGAAGGCCCATGCGATGATGACGTTGTAGTAGATGGACACCAGGGAGGACACCACCATCATGCCCACACCAACACCTGCACCGGGGAGAGGGGCTGCTCCGTGCCTGCCTCCGAGGGGCTGGGAGCTGAGAGGGGTGTGGGGAGAGGCGCCCTTGGTGCTGGGCCTACCTTGCAGGATGGGGCAGCACTTCCAGACGGTGATGGGCCCCGCGGCCCCGTACTGCCCCAGGCTCAGCTCCATCAGGAAGAGGGGCAGCCCCACCAGGAGCAGCATGAGGAAGTAGGGGATGAGGAAGACGCCTGGCAGGAGGAGAGGGGCAGTGAGTCCGGGGATGGCCAGAGGACACAACAGGTCCTGCAACCCCCCAGGAGATGGGCACAGAGCAGGGAAAGCCCCTGGGCTCCCCAAAGAGCTGTGAGCACCCATCCCTGGCACTTATTGAACGAGGCCTCAGGTGGGGTTTTGGGCCCCTGGACTATGGGAGATGTTCCTGCCCATGAAGGGGGGTGGGTGGTATTCAAGTCCCTTCCCACCCGGACCAGGAGCCCCATGGATGTGAAGCCCAAAGGGCAGCGTGGGCTCCTGCTGCCCATCCCAGCCCCAGGGAACGCCCAGCTGCGTGCACCTCTTCTTCCTCACTGCACGGCACAGAGCACGGAGTGCTGGCAGTGGGGCCACTGGAGATGAATGGAGGGACGGACACACCGACCCCACACCCATGCCCTGAAGCAGAGCAGCATCCGCAGCCCTGCCCTGGGGCCAAATTCCTCAGTGAAGGCAAGGTGCAAAGCTCGGCCCAGCTGCAGTGCTGGGCACATCCTCATTCCTGCATGGCACCATGGAGCCGACTTGGGCACCTTGCACGTCGCAGTGGGGTTAAAGCAGTGGGGCCAGAGGGCAGCACAGGACTCCGAGGCCCCCGAGCAAACCGAGCCCCAGCACCAGGGCAGCACCCACCTCCTCCATTGCGGTAGCACAGGTAGGGGAAGCGCCAGACGTTGCCCAGCCCCACGCAGTAGCCCAGGCAGGAGAGCAGGAAGGTGTGCCGCCCGGCCCAGGTGTCACGGGGTGGGTTGGGGGCCGGGCTCCCCGCTGGAGCTGGGGGCTCTGCACCAGGCTGGGGGGTGATCGGATCCTGCGTCTGGAAGACGTTCACCTGCAGAGGAACAAAGAATTGGGAACGCATGCCTGAGATCACAGCAGAGCAGAGGAGGATGAGGAGGATGGGTGAGGAAGAAGCATCGCTGCACACACAGTGCCAAGATCAGGGTTCTGGCTCAGGGCGGTGTGCAGGGGCCGCTCCGTGCCCAGCTCACATGCAGACAGGACTTGGGATGAGCAGGACAAGGGCTGGGGCTCCTTGGCCTGCACCGCTCCTCCCTAACAATGCGACGGGCCCTAGGGAAAGCGATCTGCATCCAGCTGCATGGAAAGCACTCTTGCAGCTCTGCAGTCCCCAAAGGCTGCAGAAACCCCAAAATCCAGCATGTACCTCCCTGCAGGCAGCAGAGCAGCCATGAGCAGCTGTGCTCGTGGCATCATGCATCGCTGCAGGGTGATGCTGTGGGGTGCCCTGGGATGTGGGCATTTGGGATGCTCAGAGTCTCTGCAGGGCACTCCTGGCTGCTCTGGTGCAAAGTTCATGGCACTTCCCTCAGTGCCAGTGCCAATGTGGGGCTGTGCCTCACACAGAGCCGCCCCTGTGCCTGTGAGATAACAGTGCTGCACCGACTGACTGGGTGACACAAACAAACTGCAGATTGCAGGAATCGTGCCACCAAGACAAGGCCACAGGGAGGGCTCTGCCCTTTGCCTGGTGCTGCGTCAGAGCCGTCCGGGAAGCACAGCGTGGGGATGCCCCACGTGATTACAGGAGCCAGCCCAAGCACGGAAACCAGGGGGTACCTCAGCCTGGGGTGCTGCTCCTGCACTTTGCACACCCACCCAATGCACCCACATCCCAGCCACGGGGTCACAGCACGAGGCATTGCGTGAAGAAAGCAGGGAAGGCAGTGGGGGCATTTCAGCCCTCTGCGGATGCTCAGGCTTCTGCTGTGCATCATCTCCTCCGAGCTCAGAGCGGGGCACAGCAGACACAGCCTGCCTGGGTGGTAGGTGGGAGCCCTGCCCCGCACCCAGCACAGCACCCAGCATTCTGAGAACCTCACAGCTGTGCCCCGTGGGGATGGGGGCACCGCCTGATGGCAGCGGGGCTGCCCCCAAGGCTTCCCACCTCTGCAGAGCCTGAGGGACAAAGCGCTGCACGGGGACAAACCCCCAAGCGATCCGAGCGTCGCCAGCGCTGCTCCCAGCAGAACTCATTGAGGGCACCCAGCCTCCGTGGGGCTGGGGAAAGGGGGACCTGCACCCAGTGGGCTCCCGGTGCTGGGAGCAAGGTCGGGACAGTGCAAGGATGTCCCCAGGGCCCCAGTCCTACCGTGGGCTCCGTTGGTGCGGCGGGGGCCGGGAGCCCCGTTGCGCGGAGATCCCCGCTGCTCGGCATTTCCTTCTGCAGGGTGTGCTGTGCTCACCTGTGCCAGGTGCAGCTCCGCCCCATCTCACTGTGCACCCAGGTCCTGCCAGCCCTCAGGCAGCCGTGGCTGCGTGGTCCCTCCATGCTACTCATCCCATAGCTGTGAGCTGTGGAGCCAAGGTGCGTGCTGGAGCGGCCAGCTGCAGCTCCAAGCTTCTGTCGGGTCGTGGTTTCATGCTCCTGGGCTGAGACACGCAGGAGAGCATCTCTGTGCCCTGGCAGAATCACAGAAACACCAAGGTTGGAAAAGGCCTCCAAGATCATCCAGTCCAACCATCCGCCCATCACCGATAGCTCTCACTAAACCACGTCCCTCAACACAACGTCCAAACGTTCCCTGGACACCTCCAGGGTTGGTGAACCCACCACCTCCCTGGGCAGCCCACTGCAGTGTGAGGAGAGCACCAGGGCACTGTAAACTTCTGACCCAGAGCAGAGGAGAGGTGACGAGCTCCCAGCCTGTGCTGCAGGCATGAGGGCATGAGGAGGAGGGGAGAGTGGTACTAAAGGATGCAGGGATCCTCTGCGCCCTCCAGGCTGGACATCAGCCCAGCATGAGGAAGGAGCTGTGTTGAGAACCTCCCGTTCCAGGTGATGTTTGCTGGTTGCATCCCCCAAAACACCCATCTTTGTCCCCCTGCTTTCCCAGCTGGTCTCTGGAAAATCACCCAGAGCAACAGGGAGCAGGAAAACAGGCTCTGCATCAGCAGCTGGAAGAGAGCAGAGGTTAAAGCTGCACTCTACCAGTGAAGCATTTCTCCTACAGCACCCCATTCCAGCACAGAGCCATCTGCTCTCAGCATCTCTACCTCCAACCCAGGGACACTGGGTCAGATCGCTGCCCTGCTCTGCATGCAGCTCCTGTCCATCCCGGTGTTACGTGCATTTTTCAAGGGCGGTGCTCTGGCTCTGCCTCACTTTGGCCATGTCCACGATGCTCCATGTGGGGCTGTCTGACCTCTGAACGGAGCAGGTCCTTCAGAGCCTGGAAATACCCCTGGAGCCAGGCCTCCCCCCCACCGCCAGGAAGGGAGAAGGGAGGATGACCTCCAATCCAGATTTGGCTCTTCTCATCCAAGAGCACCTCTGTGGGATGGGAATCGGACTGGAGCTGCCCAGTGTCCATGAGCTGGCGACCCTGAAGGAACACAGGAAGTCTTTGTGGGTTGACTGCAACTGAATTCATGTGAGTAAAAGGGAACCGAAGAAGACGGAGCCGTTCTCTTGGTGAGGGTGGTTGCCTTCATCCCATGCCATCCACCAGGAGCTGCTGTGGTCCTGGGGCACTGCGATGTCCTGCAGCTTGCAGGAGAGCAGTCTGCAAACAAGCAGCCTCTCCACAGATGGGTCTGGGCCAAGGAATTAAATGTAATTCCACCCAAATGAGGGAAGTGAAGAGGTGTTTTTAGGTTGGGTCATTTTGGTGGCCTTGTTTATTGCACTGCCTTGTGAAAAGTTGCCCTGAGAGACACATTATTGAAACTGGGACATTAGCACAGTGTGTAAAGATGCACAGAACAACCAAGATGTGGAGGACGAGAATTTTCCATCCTTTTTTCTCCTCATAGAGCAAATCCCATAAGAAACCACACAAGAGATAAGATGCTCACAACTTCCCCTGTAGCCCAGAGGCATTCAGACCCCAGGTCCAGAGAGGCTCCACGTTAGGACATCACAGCACAGGTCAGCTCTGGAGCGGGGTAGGATGCAAATCCCTGCATCTCTCTCTTGGTCCATCATCGTTCTGCACTGTGCCAGGCTCTCTGGTGCTTTCACACCAGCTCAGAGCAGGAAGGCAAGAGGCAGATGGTTGGAACTGATGATCTTAGTTGTCTTTTTTGACTTTAATGACTGGGTGGTTCTATGAGCCATGCACTCCTCGGTAGGTCTGTCGCCTCTGTCCACAGCAGAATCAGATCTGCTGTCTTGTGGCTTCACGCTGTGGGACTTGGAGGTGAAACAACCTTGGTTCAGCTTTGGCTCCTGCCCCAGCTCTGTGCCATTCAATCGTGCAGCCCAAGCAGCCTGCTGGCACAACCCCTGCCATACAAACCTACAGCAACAGGAACCAGTCAGCACAGAAGCTCCATTCCAACCACAGCTGCCTCAGGGCTGGGTGGAGGTACAGCGTTGTGCAGCCTCAGGAAGTTTGGTTTTCGTCTTACATTTCCTTCCAAATTTGCCTCTTGGGCGTTGATGGTGGTTGTTCTGATCTTGCCACAGCCGTGCTGGAGGGGAGGAGGCTGCTGTTCCCCTGCAGCAGTTTAACCCATGACGCAGAATCACATCCTCAGAACACCAAACGACTGCTCCACCTGCTATTGTTTTTCAAATCAGAGTGAATAAAACACAAAGCACCTGAGGGCAAAGATCCATGAGCTCAGCGCAGGCTTCAAATGTACCAAGATGCAGTGGTTTTTTTTCCTTCTGTCTTTTTCCAACCGCATAGAGAAACAAACAACCCCTCATTTCTTTCCATTTCCTGATCAGTTCCAGATATTCCTTCTGTCACCTCGCAGAAATGAGAGCTCGTTGGGTGTCCAGCCTTGGTGCACGGTGCTCCCAAGCTGACCGCATGATGAGCTGCATCTTCAGAGCCAGGCTCGGTGCTGAGGGATCAGCAACTGCCATGTTTGCTGAGCAGCGATGGAACCCACAGCCTCATATGTGCAGAGAGACAGGCAGAAACAAGGGCTGGAGTGCATGGCCCAGGGAGTGGGGGGTCACTGTCCCTGGGGGTGTTCCAGAGCTGTGGGGATGTGGCAGTGAGGGAGATGGCCAGCGGTGGGGTGAGCTGGGGTTGGGCTTTTCCAGCCTTCCTGATTCCACGGCTCTATGAAATGGGGCTAAGTTTGCCTGGTGGATGGTCATTAAGGCCAGTCCTGTTCAACGAACATCTTCATCAATGACCTGGATGCAGGAGTTGAACGCATCCTTAGCAGGTTTGGTAAGGAGGCCGTGCTGGGAGGTGCTGTTGACTCTCTGGAGAGACGACAGGCTGTGCAGAGGGATCTGTGCAGCTGTTCAGAAGGGTTGTTAGTGACAGGACAAGTGGGAATGGATTTAAAGTGAGACAGGGGAGGTTTGGGTTGGATGTGAGGAGGAAGTTTTTGAGCCAGAGGGTGGTGAGGCACTGGCACAGGTTGCCCAAGGAGGCTGTGGGCAGGCATCCAAGCCCACAGGCAGGCATCCAAGGCCAGGCTGGATGTGGCTCTGGGCAGCCTGGTCGCTGAAGGTCCCTTCCAACAGAACAATTCTATCCTGTTCTAAATAACAGAGTTCCCAGCTGCTGGATGCCACCAGGGACCTCACTCAGAGGCCCACAGGCAAGGACAGCACACCTGTGAGGTGACTCCACAAAGCAAAACGGAATGTTTCTGGTGCTGTGTTCATCTCAGTTTCCCCTCCCCACGCTACCTGGTGCTGTTCTGACACGTGGGTGCACCTCTTGGTTGGAAGAAGCCCCGTTATCACAGCACCTCGGGTGGCTGCTGGCACACGCAGCACCCAGCACGTGTTAGCAGAGGAAGTGGTGACGTTTGGGGTTGTGTTATGTGTACAAGCCCTAGCAGTGCTGCTGTCCTCGAGTGCTGCCTGGACCCTGGGGCATTTGGGTGGGGGAGCAGCCAGCCACTAAGCACTCCTTCTTCCAATGCCTGAAGGGTGGCCACGGCCTCCTGAGACCCCAAAGGGCTTTCTGAGATCCCAAGGGGCCTCCTGAGACCCCAAAGGGGCCTTCTCAGACCCCAAAGGGCTTTCTGCCATGATGCTCTTCCTGTCTGCATCCAAGGGCACAGTGTCCCCGCGATTCCCATAGCCCTGTGGAGCTGCCTGTCCCCAGGGGGCTCTCCCTCCTCAAGGTGCCCATCCCAGCAGGAGGTGGGCTGGCTGCCATGACAGCACACAGGCCTCCACGATAGCACACAAGCTGCTGTGTTCCTCAGGGGTTTTGGCGTTCTTTGGAAGGGGAGGGAGGGCTGTGGGAGAATCGCGTGGAGAGTCGCATTAAAGACGACGTTTAAATACTATTTAGTGCAATCACCACTGTGTTCTGGTTATGCGTATCGCGAAGTGAGGTATTATACCCCTTCACGGCCGCCGTACGTCGCGCCCTCGCGCGGCCGCGAATCGCCCTGAAGGGGGAGGAGGGCACTGCCGCCATCTTGGAAGCGGGCACGCAGCCCTCTCTGCCCTTGGTGGTTGCCGCTTCTCGGGAGGGCACGAGGGAGATTCGGAGGTAGATCAGGGGGTGAGGCTCCGCTGAGGGCGAGAAACAGCTCCGAAGCGGCTTCGGAGGGGAAAGAATGAGTCGGTGCCCGGATCCAAGATGTCGCCCGCTGCCTCAGCCTGTGGGGGCGGAGCGTACGGCGGCGCGGCGGGGTCAGCGCGGTTGGCGGGAGCGGGAATTGGCGCTCGGCAGCCGTTGGGAGCCCGCGCCGCCGTCGCCACCGCCGCCATGCACGTCGTGAAGCGCGGTGAGCGGGAACGTGGGGGCGGGGGGACCGCGGGGAGCCGCTCCGGGCTCCGTCCCGACTTTGGCCACGGAGCCCCGCAGGGCCACACGGCGTCGGTGCTGTGGGGATCGGCTCCTCGGCCTCCTCGCTGAAGGAGGTCGCGGCGAGGTGGGGGTCGAGCTCTGCTCTTGTCAATAGCAGGAGAAACGACGGCCTTCGGTTGTGACAGGGGCTGTTTGGGTTGGATATTAGGTAGAATTCTTCTCTGCGCGGGATGCCCGTGAGGTGAGGGGGCATCTGTCCCTGGAGTTGCGATGGCGCCGGGCACTGAGGGACACGGAGTCGCCAAGGTTGGAAAAGACCTCCCAGATCATCCGGTCCAACCAACCAACCTACCGCCAAAATAACCCGCTAAACCACGGCCCTCAGTGCTGCCGAGAGGCTTTTTGTCAGCACTGAGTGTTCCTTGAGCACAAAGCGTGGTGGGATGGCTTGGGGTTGGATGTGGGGATCTGGAGGCTTTCAAGGCCAGGCTGGATGTGGCTCTGGGCAGCCTGAG